TGGCTTCCTGTCAAACTCCCACCTCGCAAGAAAAAGCCCAACGTCCAGCGCCTACATCAGTTACTCGAAGAGGCTGAGAAGGAGGAATTGGGAGAGAATACAAAGGTCGAGGAAGTAAAGGAGGAGAAGTTGTCAAAAGACGAGCCGGCGTCGAAATAAGCGATTCGACGGCGTCGGCCAAGGACTTAGTTTCATCTGGTGCACTCCCTTGTAATAGTAGTCGGACTTATTCCCCGTATGTAGGTACCCCGTTCGAACAATATACCAACCTTTTTGTCGCATTACCAGAAGAAGAAGCTAAGAGAAACGAATCGCCAACCGCCAATGGCGTAGGAGGGGATTTCCGCCGTCCTACGCAGTCAGCGATGGGCAATGAACCCCTAGGGGCCGGTCCACCTCAGACACCCCCACCTGACCGAATGGGGAAAGTACTGGAGCACCCAGCGAGCGCCTCAGGTCAGGAAAAGATGGACGCCAGACGTGGTGGTCATCGCCCCGGCAGGGAGAATCGGCCGACGACTCCGGTGGCAGGGCCTTCCTGTTCAGATGTAGGGCAGGTTGTTCCTCCCGCCAGTGGCGGAAAAGCAGCTGAGGCCGGGACTCGAGGGGACCACCTACATTTAGTAGTGGACTCATCCGCAAATGATGCCGACCCCCTCGACGAGCCAATATGTGTGCGCCTGCCTCGGGTTTCCGAGAGTACCGCCGGTGTTAGGAATGAGGTTAAGTACGGAATCACAGTGGAGGTTACAACGCCGTGCACAAGCGCCCTTGGCCAGGGCCGAACACAGGGCAGCGAGCCCTCCTCCACCAACTCGTCGGAAGGTGACCAAGTGCTGCCAAGGGGCCTTCACGACCGGCCCGGTGACCAACTGCCACCTCGAGTCAAGAACCCCCCCGTTTCGTTGGAAGAAGTTGAGGATGAAGAAGCCCACCTACGGTCCGACATCCCGACTATCGCACCCAAGGGGAAGTCTCCCGTGACCCCCGTACCGTTATCAGAGGACGAAAGGCGGCGACCCGTCGCAGACACGTATTATGAACCCTTCGGGACGCACTGGACCCGTCGAGCGCTACGCCTTGCCACTAACGAGTCGGCCGCTTTCGCTACTCTCAACCAATGGGTACACCCCCGTCGCACGGGAGAAGTAACGGTGGAGCTATGGGAGGCACTCAGGGAGCAGCCCGAGACTGCCGCGGAGGCCAGGAGTAAATGGGAATGGATGGAAGATCTTACGAAACTGCCCATGTACATACGAGGAAGGAAGGGGTGGAATGTATCAATTACTGTGCAGTTGGAAACCCTAGATACCCGAGAAACGCATTCAGTAAAAGCGCTGGTGGACAGCAGAGCCACAGGCAGCTCCATAGACCGCGCCTGGGCCCAGAAACACGCTCTTAACCTCAAGAAAGCGGCCCGACCCGTTCCGGTATACAATGCCGACGGCACGCGGAACAAAGGCGGCGACATCACTGAGTATGCCGAAGTATGGCTGCGTATCGGGGACCATGTGGAACGGATCGAGCTAGCAGTAGTAGATCTAGGCTCCACCCCCCTCTTTCTTGGACACGATTGGCTGCAAAGGCATAACCCATTGATAGACTGGGACACCGGAGCCGTCACTTTGGCCCGCTGTACTTGTCGAAAAATCCCTTTCTCGCTTCCTGATACAGACCCTACGTCCCAATGGGAAGAGTACGAAGAAGGAGACACTATCCTAGTAATCGACTTTGAGGAGGCGTTTCACGTGCGGGCCATGGGAACTAAGGCCAATGAACTAGCCGCTCAGGCCAATGCCCGCAAAACTGCTAAGTCTTTCGAGGAAATAGTGCCTGAGGAGTATAGAGAGTTCGAAGATGTGTTCGCCAAGGAGAACTTCGACGAGTTGCCACCACAGAAGCCATGGGACCACGCTATTGAGTTGGTCCCCAACGCAAACGCCAACCTGGACTGTAAAGTCTACCCCCTTAATCCCGCGGAGCAGGAGGAATTGGACAAGTTTTTGGATGAGAACTTGTCCACCGGGCACATCCAAGCCTCCAAGTCCCCCATGGCATCACCGTTTTTCTTCGTTAAAAAGAAGGACGGCAAGTTGCATCCAGTCCAGGACTACTGCAAACTTAACGAGATGACTATCAAGAACAGGTACCCGTTACCCCTCATCGGGGAACTCATGGATCGACTGAAGCAGGCAAAGTATTTCACCAAGCTAGACGTACGGTGGGGGTACAATAACGTCAGGATAAAACAAGGGGACGAGTGGAAGGCCGCCTTCCGAACCAATCGGGGCCTCTACGAACCCCTCGTGATGTTCTTTGGCCTCACAAACTCGCCTGCTACTTTCCAGTGGATGATGAACGACATTTTCAAGGATCTCATTACCGCGGGGGAAGTATTGGTCTACCTCGACGACATACTTATTGCATCGAAGACCAAGAAGGACCATAGGCGTATTGTACGAGAGGTACTGCGAATTCTTCGCGAGAACAAGCTATTCCTCAAGGCCGAAAAATGCGAGTTCGAGGTGGAGGAGATGGAGTACTTAGGCGTGCTCATCAGCGAAGGGAGGATCCGCATGGACCCTGTCAAGATTGCCGGACTGTTAGATTGGCCGGCCCCGTCCAAGAAACAAGAGCTCCAGTCGTTCTTGGGCTTTTGTAACTTCTATCGACGATTCATCCGCGACTACAGTAAACACGTTAAGCCCCTTACTGCGCTTACGGGGAAGGTGGAATGGAAGTGGGGAAAAGCCCAACAAGAGGCCTTCGAGAATCTCAAAGAGCTGTTTCGCGAGGATGTGGTGTTAACCATTCCCCTCGACGAGGGAAAGTTCAGAGTGGAGGCGGACTCCAGTGAGGGAGCAATAGGGGCCATACTGTCCCAGTGGCAGAAGGAAAAGTGGCGACCGGTTGCATTCTTATCCAAGGTGCTATCCATCACGGAGCGTAACTACGAGATTTACAACAAAGAACTTCTTGCCATCATGCTTGCACTGGAGGAATGGCGGCAATATCTCATGGGCGCTCGAGAAGACTTCGAGATTTGGACAGACCACTCCAACCTCCAGTATTTCCGTAAGCCTCAAAAGCTTAATCAACGACAAGCTCGGTGGGTGACTGAGCTGGCAGAGTATCAGTTTACCCTGCATCACAAACCGGGGGCACAGAATCGTAAAGCAGACCTACTGTCCAGACGAGCCAATCACGATCAGGGGAGGCAGGATAATCAGGATATTATAGTCCTCAAACCAGCTCATTTCTGAGCCCTCGTTATGCCTACTGCAGAGGAGTTACATGAGAGGATCAAACTTGCCACTCATGACCCTCGCAAGTGGGACCAAGGCATCTTGGATTCCCTCAATCACGAGAAGGGGGTATCCCGAGAACAGGAATTACTGTGGTATGACGGCCACATCTACGTGCCTAGGGACAGGCAACTACGAGGGGAGATCATAGCTCTACACCATGACCATGTCACAGCGGGACACCCAGGAATCGAGAAGACCAAGGAACTCATCTTACGAAACTATTGGTGGCCCCGAATGCGCACAGAGGTGGAAGCATACGTCAAAGGGTGCGAAGTTTGCCAAAGGACTAAGGCAGACCGACGCCCCAAAAGAGCGCCCCTTCACCCGAACGAGGTTCCTCTTCGACCTTGGACACATATTTTGGTCGACATGATCACCAAGCTCCCGGATTCGAAGGGAAACGACTCCATCCTCGTTCTGGTCGACCGATTCTCTAAGACCATCATACCCATAGCATGCACCGAAGAGCTATCGTCCATGGGGTTCGCCAAGATCCTGAGGGACTACGTTTATGTACCGTATGGTGTAATGCCAGAGAAAATCATCTCGGACAGAGGAGCCGTCTTCGTGTCTAAATTTATGAAGGAATTCTACGCTCTCATCCAAACAACCGGGAATCTGTCGACGGCTTATCACCCTCAGACGGACAGGCAGACGGAAAGGGTCAATCAGGAGATTGAGAAGTACCTCAAGATGTTTGTCAGCTATCGACAAGACGATTGGAGTGAGTGGTTACCGCTCACTGCGTTCACTCACAATAACCGCAAACACTCTGCTACGGGCTTCTCCCCATACAAGGTGGTTTTCAGACGTGATGGACAAGTCATCAAGGTGGCCCAACGCCAGGACGCCGTACTGGCTGCATCGAAGTTAGTCCAAGGAATCCAAGAGGTACAAGAGAAGGCAAAGGAATCCCTCGAACGAGCGGCTGCGTCGATGAAGAAGGCTTACGATAAGCATAAAGGAAAGGCTGTGGAGTATCAAGTAGGCGACAAGGTGTGGCTGGATTCCACCAACCTAAACCTTCCTCACCCGACAAGGAAATTAGGGGATAGACGGGTAGGACCGTTCATCATCACCGCAAAGAAAGGAGCATCAGCTTATGAGCTGAAACTTCCAGAGAAATGGAGGATCCATAATCGATTCAACGAATCTTTACTCACACCATACCATGCTCCCGAGTTCCCGAATCAGCCACACCCGGAACGACCACCTCCTGAACTAATCGATGAGCAGGAAGAATACGAGATCGAGGAGATTGTTGGGGAAAGGGACTGGGTAATAGGCCGCGGATGAACTCGCCGCACCATTATGGAATACTTGGTGAAATGGAAAGGATACCCGCTGGAGGAAAACTCATGGGTTAAACGTTCGGACATGGCCAATGCCGAGGAACTCGTCAACGACTACGAGTCGCGAATCTGAAAAATGTGGTGGACAGTTAACAACCGAGGGCGAGTGGTCGGAGTAGATGATAAAATACCTCGGGACCTCCCAGTTCACTACCATGAACCGGACTCCCCCTGTGTAACCGATATCATCACGGTTCCATCCTCTCAATGTACCGCGTCGAGGCACTCCGAAAAGCTCAACTTAGTAGGGGAGGTGGATGGGTCAGATGCAGGTCGAAATGTGGGACCAATATCAGTCCCCTCTTCATTCCGCAGACTTATAGGCGATATTTCCCAATCGATGGACAAAGTGCTTCTGGAGAGAAACAAAAAGTATATTCAAGAGCATCCCAGCAAAGCAGGTTCCATTGTACCATACCCACGACGTCGGGAAGAACATAAATTCCTTGACCCCTGCATACGCGACTCCTATTTAAAGAGACGGAAGATCGAAATTGAAGCCTCGCGACGAGAGGATCGACCATATGAAAATCCTCCCATTCTGCTTGATCCCCCATCCGACAACGAAACCGACGTAAACCTTCTTCGAAAGGTGGCAGAGAATTGGAACGATGATGAACGCGCCTCAGACATTGACTCATACGACACAGATGGGGAGGAATCCGATGACTCATTCGGGACGAACGAGTCTTAAGGGGGGGGTAATGTTACGGTTTATTCATTTTTTCTTCGTTTTACTCAGCAGGATTACTCATATGCGATCCCTACGGATCATTTCCCACAGTACTATTTTTAGCGTATCCACTTGTATTTAAGTAGAGCCTCAGCTGGTTCAAACCCCAGCTTCGGCTAAGGTTTAATCTACCTAACATCGAACTCCGTCCTTCATGACTATCTGTCCCATCGACTTTCATCGCCTTTGACTTGCTAGAGTATCGTCTACCGAAGTGCGAGTAGTGATCCTAGTATGATCTAAGTTGATAGAGTTAGTGGCTAACATGTTGATGGCTGGTAGAATTGACTCTTCGAGATGTCGTTTCTAAGTCCATTCTGTACTGCCGTGCTTTCATTCTTTATGTAGTATTTAGCTACCAGTGTGAAGCCTCCACTGTAGCTCTCTGTACTGCTTGTAGATTGCATAAACTGATGTAAAATCGCAAAATCTATGGGTAGTCTGATACCAGGCATATCAGCGCAATGTGTTCATATGTGTAATTTTGTGAATCCTGTGAATCCAAACATGTGTCAATCCACTAAGTAATATTAGAGTGCATACCCAGCATGGAGTGACACCTGTTGAGGCAGAAGCAGCATATAATAAAATAATCTGAGTGGAGCACATGGCTTAGACTTAGAGTGGCACACTGGTGTCATTTAAGTGTGGAGTCTCAGTGCCCTGACTCACACCCTATGCATCCCTCAGCAGCGTCTCGCTCAAATAAAATACACTGAAAAGATAATATATTTACGGAGCTTCACGCAACATTGATCTATGACATGCAAACCCTGCTGATCTGGCAATCACCGAGAGACATCATTCAGAACCGAGGACCACCCAGTCCGAGCTTCCTGAGAGGGCTTCAGCTGACATGAGAGAAACCCTGCACCCAGAATGAAATATTAAACTAAGAAAAGGTTGTGCAGCAATCAAATAAAAATACCAACTCACTAGCGATGTGCACGACAGAGGAATTAAAAACAAGAAGCCAATTAGGAGAAATATTCTGCATGATGTGGCAACTCTAGATCTTGCCAAGAAGAAAGAGCAGCATGTTATTGAGCACTAACTTGGATGACTGACTCAGGATATTAATTAGTGACCATGCGGTTGACGTGTTGAAGAGGCTCTGTGCATGCCAAGCTAGAAATGCACTAGTGTATATAACACTAACACACCCACACTCACACTCACACACACACAAACCCTCAGTAGTTCGGGGGTGATGTGCGATACAAGCACACAATAGCAGTAGTATTGAAAGAATCCTCGCACGTTACAATATAATATAGCATGCTTAGCAATATAATAATCTTCTAAGTCCAAATGCTTTTGGAACAGGAGGTGAGCGACAGAATTGCTCAGCCTCAAGGCAAAAGTATTATTTTGCAAGCCCCCAAATGTTCTACAAGAACATATAACCCTCAAAATACATCGCACACAACACACAAGTGTCCACAATGTTTCACAATACTCTTAACACGACTTAAAGCCTTGCGCTCCAAGCAGAAAACACTTCAAAACCCATTCATAGATCCACAGGGTTCTAACCTATGCAATCCAGAGATACACAAACACAGAAAACACGTCCACAAGCCACAGGGTTTGAACCTATGCCACTTGGGAATAAACCAAAAAAACCTCAGAGATTACTGACAAGCCAAAGGGTTCGAACCTCTGCCACTTGCAATAACTCGGAATTCACAAACAAGTTCCAAAAACACAAATGCACATTCAAGTTATCATAATACAATATTCTCTAAGTAGAGCGCAATCAATTACTGTACTTTACTTGAACAAATCAAGCGCGCTCGAGCAAGGCATGCCTCGCAAGCTCTCAAAGTGTTCAAAATAATTCTAAGTTCAATAATACTCTCTCGCCCGAAGCTTCAAATAAAATCCTTTCGTCGTACACTAAGCACGCTGCTTCGTAGTACAACTGCAGGGGTCTGAAAACTTGCTAACTACCTGTAACTACCGCTCTTATATTTACCGTTAACTATATGAAATGTAAATACTGAAAATAGACAACGCTCCACCTCGGACTCCCTTCTCTTGCGTGCCGCATCAGCCGTAGTGATAGTAATCATTATTTTACTCAGCACTCCATGTCGGCACGCATGCTACCGCTGTTTTCTCCACTTGGCAAGGCCTAGCCTCGTCGTGCCATGCAGCATGTGTCTTCTTATTGGCTCCACGGATTTAATTACAGTGCCACGCAACTTATCTAGTGAGTGAGTTTTATTTTATTGGTTGCCGCGCAACCATTTCTAGTTTAATATTTCATATGGGCAGCGGGTTTTATTTCTCTCTGGCCAAGAACTCCTTAGAGTATTCGGACTTGTTGATTCTTCGTTCAGGATGACATTTCTCGGTGATTGCTGGATCAGCAGGGTTCGTGCATCATAGATCAATGTAGCATGAAGCACCTTCAATATATTATCTTCAGTGAATTTAATTGAGTGATACACTGCAGAGGAGGGCACAGTGTGTGTGTATAAGCACTGAGACTGCACACTTAAATGACACAAGTGTGCCGTTCTAAGTCTAAGCCATGCGCTCTACTCATATTATTTTTATTATAGTGCTTTCTGCCTCAGTGTGTAGCACTCTATGCCTTACATGCACTCTAATATTATTCACAGGGCACACACACGCTTGCATTCCTAGAATTCGCAAAATTACATGTGTGAACGCGTTGCATGCGTGTCAGCATCACAGAGAGGAAATGGCTCTGGGGTGGAGCATATCTATTTTCGATATTTATATTTATATAATTAGCTGTAGATAAAAGCGCAGTAATTAGAAGTAGGTAAAAAGCTTTCAAACCCCTGCAGTTGTGACACGAAGCAGAGAGCCTAGTGTGCAACCAAAGGACTTGTGTTTGTAGCTTCGAGCGAGAGAATATTATTGGATCTAGAATTAATTTGAAACCCTTGAGAGGTCACGAGGCATGCCTTGCTCACGTGCGATGCTTAGCTTGATTCTGGACAGTAATTGATTGTGCTCAACTCAGAGAAATATTGTATTGTGATAACTTGAATGTGCATTTGTGTTTGCAGAATGTGTTTGTGAATTCTGAGTTGTTGCAAGTGGCAGAGGTTCAAACCCTTTGGCTTGTCAATACTCTTTGAGGGTTTTTTTGGTTTATTCCCAAGTAGCATAGGTTCAAACCCTGTGGCTTGTGGACGTGTTTCTGTGTTTCTGTGTCTCTGGATCACATAGGTTTGAACCCTGTGAATCTATGAAAGGTTTCTGAAGTGTTTTCTGCTTAGAGCGCAAAGCTTTAAGTCGTGTGTAATTTGTTTGATGGGTTGTAGCCACCTGTGTGTCGTGCGCAACATCAATTGAGGGTTGTACGTTCTTGTGGAATGTTTGTGGGCTTGTGAAATATTACTTTCACCTTGAGGCCGAGTGATACATATCACTCACCTCCTGTCCTAAAAGCATTTGGACTTAGAGAATTCTTTTGAGCTAGTGTGCTATTATATCTTGAAGAGCACAAGACATCTTTTAATTCTACTGTTATTGTGTGCTTGCATTGCATATCTCTCCTGAACTACTGAGATTCTGTGTGTGTGCGAGTGTGAGAGTGGGTGTGTTTAGTGTGTCTATGCTATCGCATTTCGAGCTTGGCACGCACAGAGCCTCTTCAGCATCCTTTCTATATGGTCATCAGACCACCAGCTTCTGGTTTTCAAACTTTGACTTTGACTTCTTAGAGCACATTCAAGTTTGGAATACCATGGAGGTGACATGAGTTCTGAGGTGAGGCTTTATTCATGTCAGTATCCATCAACACCGACCTCTGGTAGGGGACCTATTACGACTTCACCCCTATTTTCCTTATCTTATCTTATCCTTATCTTCCAGAACCCTGGACCTACCTATCTTATCTCTCAGACCTATGATATTCTGCCAGCATCTCCTTTATCTGGTTGCCGTCACCCCAATTCACAGCTGCTTCACCCCAGATGACTGATGACCTGCATGTGCCATCATGCTTCTCTTGATGGCATCATACTTCTTAGTGGTTGGGCCCAAGTCGACCGCTGGTCGAGGGCAGTCTATGGGATGTAGCCTATTCAGACAGAGTCCTGCACAGATGCAGGTGATATGCACTCTTTACTCTTATTCATCGGGAACACACTTCTTTAAGTGTCCTCCCTCCTCATTCATTAGCAGGCACACTTCTCGCTGCATGTGCCCTTGTAGATACTATTCTTAGTATGAGTCTAACATGTATTTAAGCTAGCCTATGCTGTGGCCTTAAACCCCAGCTTTGGCTAAGGTTATATACTTCTAACTCTTACAAGCTCCTTGCTTTCGCTACAAGTGACACCTAACTTCTTGCAATCTACCAAAGGCCTCTCTAACATTGAATCACTGAATGCGAGTGACAGGATAGAGACCAGCCTTGGCTTAGATTAGAGTTAGTGCTTAACAGGACCATAGCACTGGATATCAAGCATATCATCTATTGTCATAGCCTGAAACTTTTTGTGCAATCTACAGTGGAAAGCCGGCCTGATGTCAGCAGATAATGGTCAAGCTGGTTCTCAGCTGATAGAGGAGCTCCTGATGTTCCCAGGCCTATCTTGATACAGCCTGACTATGTGTGCAGTAAAGGAGGATGCCAGGTCTCTTCAATTTAGTTCTGTGGTGAAGGTGACCAGGAAGGTATATGTGCTTTCACAACTCCTGTCTTTGTCTGCGCTAAACACAAAGCCTACTCTCTACAGCTTGCCACCATGACCATTGTCTGGATCTAGCCTTGGACATCAGCCTGACTTGCATAAAATCCTCTCACCTCTACATCTCGTGCTGTAATTTCCTGATATCCACCATCTGGACATCAATCTTTCCTGCAACATCTTTGTGAAGAATTACACCAGAATTTGGTCCTGGCACTCCACTGAGCACCATCTTAGGAAGTACTACAAGGAGCATTGGGTAACTGATAGTGATGGCCCAACCAATAAAACCCTCATAAGTGTACCCTAATGGAAATCCCTACTTTGCCAATGCATTTGTCTCTCACAGAACTTTGCTGGCAGAAAACGATGGCATATCTGCATCTCTCCCACCAATACACTAGTCAGCAAGATCTATGCCAGGAGGTTCCAGTGAGTATTGCATTGCTTAGATGCTTGGGTGTTGAGTGTCAGTATCTGGCCAGACTGGACTGCTGCTCACATCGATAGAATATGGGGGTTATATGAATAGCTGCCTGCAGGGGTTCTGCTTCAAGGTTATGGAGGAAAGTCACTGGTTAAGCTCCTTTTCAGCTTATGGGAGGGCACATCAAAGTTGTACAGGCACTGACTCATATTACGGATCAGCACTTTGTCGGTGGTCTCTTCTAGACAGACTCTCACATCTTTTACAGTCAACCAGTCAAGATTGGAAATGTATCTCCTTCGCATCGGACAATGGTTGCAAAAAAAATGGTTGCATGTATATGCCAGTGTATGAATTCTCTACTGGAAATACTGACCATGCCACCTATTAGCAGGATGGTCTGGATGATTCTGCAGAATGAAAGGCAAACAAGGAAGAAGAGCACGAGCACCCGACAAAGATTACATGCCACAGGTGGGTGACCATGATTCTTGTGGTCCAAAATTTTTACAAGAATTGTTTCCTCCCAGTTGTTTGTTCAATGCCAAAGTTATTCAAAGGAATTCCTACAACAAACTCGACAAGAATCGCAAATGTGTGGGTTGCGATATTCTAGATGCGTGTGCACCTGACCACATACATGGACTTTGAACGATGTCTGATGAACCAAATGGGGCTTCGCAAGTTGGGTCACTATGCAAATATCCTATGCAATATTATGCCAAGCCCTACTTCATTATACTGATCATCCAGTCATTCTCCGCAGAAGTTTAATTTTATACACCCACCTCTGTGAATAATCCAGCACAGTCTCTCAAATGGTATAAAAACCAGAAAATGTAGAGGTCGGTGACTCAGCAGCATCTATCGTTTGCTTTCAATTTCTGCATCCTGGTCATCATGTTCCAACATGCTTTCCGCCAATTCGTCTTTACTGCCATGGTGCTCACACTCATGTCAGCCATCCCAACTGGAGAGCTTGAAGAGCATGCAAGCTGCACGATCTCTTCTGTTTCAAGTGCTTCATCCATTTGGAGCTGCTTGTCGGTCACTATCTCAGCCTTTACTATCCCCAGCAGAAGTAAGCCACTGGCAAATTTATTTTCTTCATATTCTGATGACTTTATACTTAGGCACTCTTATGCTCTCTGTACATCACTCTTTTGACCTTGCACAAAGATATAACTCATGTTTGCCATTAATTCTATTAGCCCAAGTCAGGTGCCACTATCACCATGGCTGGTGATATCACCTTCACCAAGACCTCTAGTGCATACCTCCCATAGGCATCAGACAGAAATTAGACTATTGATGTCTTCCTAGGCGATGGACCATTGTTCACCATTGACGGTGAAGAGATCACGTTCAATGGCATGGGATACTCTTTCGACATATGCCACATTTTATTGTTTTCCTGCTTCAGTGTTACAATGTTTGTAATAGGGAAATGGTGCCAAGTACTGGGATGGTGAAGGCACTAACAGTGGTGTTGACAAGCCTCACCCTTTATTGAAGTTGGTCCCCTTCATGTTCATGGTTGTTTGACAATCTCACTTTGTTTATAGGTTCAAGGGTTCCGGCACATACTCTGACTTCATGGTGAGCTACTATTTTCTCTCTTGCCACACAATGCTGAACGTAAATGACAGGTCTTGAACAGCCCTGCTCAGGCTATCTCTATCAGCAACAGTGACAGCCTCATCTTTGATAGCATCACTGTATGCCAGATTCCTCTCATTTGTCTTTCAGGAGCTTACCAGACCTCCATAGGTGGACAACAGCGATGGTGATGATGATGACCTTGGTCACAATACTGATGTGAGGGTATTTTCTTCTTGCTTTGCTATAACATTTTGATAGTCTACAGGGTTTCGATGTTTCAGCTGATGACATGACTATCTAAAACTCTGTCATGAAGAACCAGGATGACTGTATCACTATCAATGATGGCTCAAACATCATGTATGTCTTATTACATGTGTAGAAGCCCATCCTTATGCTATGTATTGACCAGGTTCAAGAACAACAAGTGCTCTGGTGGCCATGGCATTTCGATCAGTTCCATCTCCAGTGGCAAGTCTGTCACTGATGTCATCATCTCTGGAAACACCATTACGGATTCGATGTATGGATTCAGGTAAATATTCCGAGGCTCTTTTGCTCCATCACCCTTCTGAAATGGCACTCAGAATCAAGGTCAAAGCCTCTGCGACTAGTGCGTCAGTGTCTGGTATCACGTACTTGTCATGAATTCACCCCTATTTTTCGCTTATCTTATCTTATCACAGTATCTTATCACGGCAAGTCGGCAAGTCATCATTCGACTCTCATCATCATTCCTCGTACCTGATCTGTATCATTCATGACCTGCTTGGTCACACGCCCACATGGCATCACCTCGCACCACAGACCACATCACTAGGACTCAGTCATGGGCTCTGCAGCTGTACATCGTGAGAGGCAGCACCATACGGACGCTGCCCTTCTTACTCATAGGAGCACTTCTAGTGTGGTCATGCTCACATTGCATCACTGGGGCATTGCCACAACACAACCATCAGTCTTCTCTGATAGGTCCCTGAACGTACCGCTCACACACATGATCCGTTTGATGGCCCATAGACCGATCACACTCCTATGGGCCTGACCCCCCTTCACCCAATCACGCTTCTTTAGGTCGACTCTGATCACACCCTAGGATGGACAAGCCACCACATACGCCCCTCAGAAGACCATGCCCTATGGACGCTAGTCTTCTTACTTGCAGGAGGGTTTCTCCTATACCAAGCACCATACGATACAGAGGACATAGAAGACAGCGCTGCATTGGGGCAGCACACACCAAGACACAGGAATGGTACATACTAGTAAATACCACAATGTATTTAAACAAGCCTTGCTGTGGTCTTACACCCCAGCTTCGGCTAAAGTTATACACTCCTAACTTTTCATGCAGAAACTCCCTGCTTCTAAAACTAAGAACTATCATTTCTGATCTAGCGATTGCAATGCCCTCTTCACAACTGAATCACTGAACGCAAGTGACAGTTTAGAGGCAAATGTTGTTCAATCCAAGTTAGTGCGTTACAGTACTCTGGGTGAGTACTACCTAATTTAAATTTGTCAGGCTCTCTTCTTATACTTTTCCATACAGAAACACACTCAGTGGCATTGACGAGTACAGTGTCTTGATCACCCAGTCTTACCCTGATGATGAGGGTACCCCAGGAACTGGTGGTCCCATCTCATGAGTCAAACCACCTCCAGGCTATGAGCACAGCTTTTAATGTAGTCTGACAGGGACGTGAACTTCACTGGAAGCACCACTACCATCAAGTGAGCCCACCATCCCATTCATACTGTTACTGTACTCATGCAAATTTCTACTAGGGTTGGAGATGATGCCAGGCACCTGGCCATTGACTGTGGAGCCTGCTCTGGGTAAGCATTCATGTTCCTGCAGCAACAGAATGCATTCTGATCCATCTGCCTGTAGAACTTGGGACTTCTCGAAATTGAAGATCACTGGCAGCTCAGCGGGAACAGTTGATAGCAATGATGCTACTGTAAGAATCCACCTCTGCTGGCTTCGACTCTCTGCTGACATCGAGAACAGATTTCTGGCAGATCATATTAGGTTGATAATACTGTAATCTATGCAGTGCATAATATTCCAGTACTATTTATTGATACTAATATTTATGGGTTCTCTGTATTAATCCAATGATCTGTTGTCTTAACTGTGTTCTGAAAACACTTGGGTATCCAGTATATAAATTTCGGCCTGAAGCTTACCAACTCCAGTTGTGCCTCTTTGGCTGGTTACATCTGCAGAAGTCTTTTGGAGGGGTGATGGCTCTGTTCTTCTGATGCTAAGCCCAAGTCTCACTTTCATTTCATTGAATCAATCAGCATAGTGAGTTGATGATTAGCATGCCACTGCTTTGGAAGTCCTTGAGAGAGACGTCGGAGGGCTTCGTAGTGCCTGTCCCATGTGATGTCTCCATCGATACTCATTAGATGGATGAGAACGTCTTGATTATGAATAGTGTGTGCTGGACAGTGATCATTGTTCTGGATACTTTCTAATTAGTGAACCAAAACGAGAAAATTGAACATGTGACATGGTCAAAGCTTGGCTCATGAATCTCGATGCCAGGCTCCACCACAGAATTTCAAAGCTCATATCGAGGTGCTCAGATGTGCTGCGAAAGAAGGTGTCCAAATTAAGGTCTACTTGCTGTCTGTGTACCGTTAGGAATGCTAAGGCTCATGCTTGGTCAGAGGAGGTTCAGCTAGGAAGGATATGTGTCTTTAGCAGGCACTTCAATAGGAGGAGATAATTTGTGGTATGTTCTGATGAACAGTTCAAGAGGACATTTACAGCACACTGTTACCAGATTCTGCTAGGCAAATACAGGCACAGTGCAGTGCCAAGTTCAGCCTAATGACAAGGCAATGCAGCTATGTTATAACAGCTTTGGTACTATCAATCAGAGGTGTTAAAATAGGCTGAGTTGGTGTGTGGCTGATCATCTGGAAGATAGATAGATATCTGGGTCCTCAATGGGTCCTGGATGTTGGATCAAGCTGGTGATGTAAGCTGCTTTTGGCTATGCATGTGCATGATGCATCACCCAGCTGGGTGGCAACTATTTTGCGTGGGTCAAAATAGAATCAAAATCCTTGGTGCCTCTCTAATAAGGAAATACTGAAGGATTTTGACTGATGCAAAATCCCAGAAGTGCATTTTGATGTCATTTTGACTCATGCAAAATAGCTGTCACACAGCTGTGATCACGTTTCCTTCAACTTGTTCCAGTTTGTCTGTTTTTTACAATATGACTAGATCCCCCCTGATCTTCTGCAGTCCTGTCTCATGAAGTCTCATGTATATCCAGTCTCTAGAGCTATGTTCTCTCTAATTCTACCAAGTCGACAATCCAAGGCTGACGTCCATGCTGGAAGATCCATCTAGCTCTACTATAGTGATTGTTACAGTGCTAGCAATGCAGTTCATTGAAACATAGAATCACTTCATCTCATTACTTGCTTCACCAGTAATTCCCTTGCACCCTGTTCTTCTTGATGGTGCAGCATCAATCTTATAGTACTAGTCAGCATTATGCATTTGATACATGCTGTGCAACATTAATTATGCTCTTCTGAGCACATGTCAAGTATGTAGCTTATGTTTGCCATTAATTCTATTAGCCCAAGTCAGGTGCCACTATCACCATGGCTGGCAATATCACCTTCACCAAGACCTCTAGTGTGTACCTCTCATAGGCATCTGACTAGAATCTGACTGTTGATGTCTTCCTAGGTGATGGACCATTGTTCACCATCAATGGTGATGACATCATGTTCAATGGCATGGGATACTTGTTTGACATGAGCTTCATTGACATGTTCCTAGGCGATGGACTGTTGTTCACCATTGACGGTGACGACATCACATTCAATAGTGTGGGATACTTGTTCAACATGAGCTTCATTTCATTGTTTTCCTGCTTCAGTGTTACAATGTTTATCATAGGGAAATGGTGCCAAGTACTGGGATGGTGAAGGCACCAACGGTGGTGTTGACAAGCCTCATCCGTTCTTGAAGTAGGTCCTTTTCATATTCATGGATAGTGTTTGATGGCCTCACTTTGTGCATAGGTTCAAGGGTTCTGGCACATACTCTGACTTCACAGTGAGTTACCCTAATATCTTCCTCTGTACAATTCTGAACGAATGTGACAGGTCTTGAACAGCCCTGCTCAGGCTATCTCTATCAGCAACAGTGACGGCCTCATCTTTGACAGCATCACTGTATGCCAGATTCCTCTCATTTGTCTTTCAGGAGCTTACCAAACCTCCATAGGTGGACAACAGTGATGGTGATGATGATGACCTTGGTCACAATACCGACGTGAGTGTATTTTCTTCTCGTCTTGCTGCAACATTTTGATAGACTACAGGGTTTCAATGTTTCAGCTGACGATGTGACTATCCAAAACTCTATTGTGAAGTAGGGATGTGCACCATACCATATATGATATATGGCCATAAAGCCATTGTCCCAGATGGTCATGGAACTATCTGTATACTGTGCTGTATGGTCAGTTTGAATGCCTTGTCAGCATTGGTATGGGTACCTTACAGCCGTCTACAGTTGTTGACGACTGTGCACCTGAGTATGAAATTGATTTGCTCATAAAGAAGTGAGTCAGATGCCTTTAAGACTGCCAAAAATCTGTAAAATGCATCTGGTCTCATAAAGAGTCATAATCAGCTATGCTGCCTTGAGCAGGGCTAGAGATATCCAGGAATTAAAATAAAGTCACACATATTGTCTTGATTGTGCATGAAAAATTGATAAGACAGCTAAAAGAGTGAGTTAGTAAAGGTATGAAATTGAATAATGGCTATTTTGTATCATAGAGTTTCCCTAAAAAAGACTCTCGGCTGAGTCAAAAGTAAGATAAAAAATAAGCCATATTATGATGTTGTACGGCCGTCTGTGAGAGGTCTTGATGGTGATGGAACAACTGTACACCGTACCGTACAAATGGCCATTGGGGTGTATTTGGCTTCAGTCTGTATTCCATATAATGGTTACCAAAAACCGTACAATATGGTGACAGCATGCATCCCTATCGTGAAGAACCAGGATGACTGTATCACTATCAATGATGGCTCGAACATCATGTACGTATCATTCTATTCATGGAACCACATCCTTACCTGATCCATTTGCTAGCTTCAAGAACAACAAGTGCTCTGGCGGCCATGGAATTTTGATCAGTTCCATCTCTAGTGGCAAGTCCGTCACCGATGTCACCATCTCCAGAAACACTGTTACGGACTCGATGTATGGATTCAGGTAAATATTCCGAGGCTCTTTCACCCTGTCACCCTTCTGAAATGGCACTCAGAATCAAGGTCAAAGCTTCTGCAACTAGTGTGTTGGTCTCTGGTATCACGTACTCTGGGTAAGTATTACTTGATTTACATTCGTCAAGCTCTCTCCTTATCCCTGTTTGCATAGAAACACCCTCAGCAGCATCAATGAGTATGGTGTCTTGATTATCCAATCCTACCTTGATGATGAAGGTACCCCAGGAACTGGTGGTCCCATCTTGTGAGTCAAATCCATGTCCAGGCTATTAGTACAGCTTTTGATCTAGTCTCACAGAGACATGAACTTCACTGGAAGCACCACAACCATCAAGTGAGCTTACCATCCTGTTTATACTGTTGCCGCACTAATGCAAATTTCTGCTAGGGTTGGAGATGACACTAAGCACCTGGCCATTGACTGTGGAGCCTGCTCTGGGTAAGCATTTGGGTTCATGTAGGAATGGTATACATTCTGATTCGTCTGTCTGTAGTAAAGACAGAGGATATAAGTATAGATCTCAGTCGGGCACAGCGAAGGTGGAATGACTATATTGAAAGGTACTGTACCTAAAGACAGAGGATATAAGTATAGATCTACAAATGAGTGTGAGTATGTTATAAGCTAAGGATGGTAAGGTATACATACCTCAGTCAGGCACAGCGAAGGTGGAACGACTGAGGTACATGGGTATCGATGGCTAGGCTATATAGGTGATCAAGTAAGGACAGGGGTGATATATATATAGTAAGTAAGAACGAATGACAGTGAAAGATAACGGTAAAAAGGTATACAGTATGGATATCTTCAACACTCCCCCATATCCGGACTACTCCATTGGAACAATGTTGAGGGCTTCAAGATAGCCATGGTGCATGTCATGGGGTAAGGCTTTCGTGAACATGTCAACAGGGTTCAAATTTCCATGAATAAAGTCAACACGTAAGTCGCCTGCCTTGACAAGCTCTCGAATGTAATGTTCACGAATACGGATATGTTTGACCTTGTGGTGGGCCCTTGTATTCATCATAAGTGCAATCATCCCTTGGTTATCACCCTACAAGACCCCAGGACATGGTTGAGGGAGCCGTACCTCGTCCATCCAGGACATCATCCACATCATCTGCTGCGCAGCATGGGTGAGGGATATATACTCAGCTTCAACAGTGGAAAGGGCGATGGCAGCCTGGCATTTTGAGCTCCAGCAAACAGGGCCACCTGCTATAGTAAAGACATATCCTGAAGTTGACTGTGCACTATTGCGGCAACCTCCATAGTCAGTGTCAACAAATCCAACAGGCACTAGTGGTTCATCTCGGGAGAAAACAATCCCGTAGTCCATCGTACCCTTGATGTAGGTGACAACATGTAAGAGTGCATGCCAATGGGCTAGTCCCAGGTTAGACTGGAAACAAGCCAAAAGGCTCACTGGGTAACAGAGGTCTGGCTGAGTCGCAAGCTGTCCCCACATAACTCGACCCAGGAGACGTCTATATGGGTAGTGCTCCATGTCGTTCTTCTCAGCCTGGGTCGAAGGGCATTGGGAGCTGTCAAGCACTATCCCTATGGGTAATGGGGCTGAACGAACCGTGATATATTCGAGGCCAAAATCCTCAACCAGGTTCTCCCAGTATGGATGCTGAGAGAATGAAATGGTGCCAGCCTTGAGGTCCTGGTCGATCGTCATTCCCAAGAAGTAGTGATTCTCCCTCATGTCTTTCAGCTCCCACTTCTCCTCAAGTTCTCCTTTCCTCCAACTAGCCTCCTTCGTGCTTGAAGATGCTTCCCATACATCATCGGTATATGTGTCTGTGAGGGTGTAATTTCCACCTGGTTCACCAATCAACCATATGCATGGGTCCGCTCATGATGTCGTATACCCTAAGTCATCGTACGTCTTCCCAAGGGTCTCAAACCAGTCGTGGCCACCCTGCATCGTTCCGTAAATTGTATGAACGAGCTTGCATACCTTGTCTTCCTGTCCCTCAACAACGTATCCCAGTGGTTGACACATATAAATATCCTCCTTCATCTCGCTATTCAAGTAGGCTGACACAAAGTCGACTTGCCATAGGTGTAAGTCCAACTTGGTGGCAATGGCAGCAGACATGCGAACAGAGTCAAGACGAGTAACGGCAGCCCACATGTCATTGTAGTCCAGTCTGTATTGCTGGGTATAGCCCTTTCCCATGAGTCTTGCCTTGTCCCGCAGCCAGTTCCCGTTGCCATCCCACTTCATTCCAAACACCCATTTACAATCCATTATGTTAGCTCCTTCTGGCACATCTATGAGATCCCAGGTGTGCTTGGTCATGTGCATCTCGTACTCCACATCCATTGCAGCCTTCCAACATGTCTTGTCAACCCTCATGGCGTCTCAGTAATTCCTTGGAATATAGGGATCAGGTGTGCTTCCCGAAGCAGCCATTGATGCCTGCAGCCTTCTGCTATTGGTTGCCCACTCATCACCGCGGTCTCTAGCTTCAGCCTCTCATTGTTCAGAAAGCAAGGATTCGGTGGCACCATCACTTGGGCATGTCAGACAAGTTGATCGATGTAAAACTGGTTCTGTAGGCATCTCTGGGGTTGTCAAAGGAGTTGAGGATGCAGAAGGAGGGGCAGGTACAGTGAGTGGGACTTCTGTCTCAGTCTCTCCCACACTCACAGTACGATGTGGCTGTCCCTCATCAAAGATTACATCATGGGACATGAAGACATGCCCTGACTGATTGAGCACATGGTAGTTCGATCCTGCATATCCTAAAAATATGCATTTCTTTGATTGATTGTCCAGTTTGCTTCCCCTGTCAATGAGGATACCACCCAAAATAGGTTTCTTTGCCCAGCAAGTAGCTCCAAAGACCTGGAGAAACGACACGTCCTGATGACGACCTGAGAAAGCCTCAGCTGGCACCTTGCCAGGATGACAGCTGGAGGGTGCCAGATTTCATGTAAAGATCAACATCAATGTGGCCTCAGCCCAGAACCGGTCAGCCAAGCAAAGCACAAGTAGCTTCTAGAGGTCTTCACGATTGCGTACCCGGGTACATCCGCATCCGTGACCACGGGTACCCGTGGCTCAAATGCCCTACCCACCATCCGTGCCAACATCCGTGGCACGGATGACCCGGCCCGCACCACGGGTACCTGCATCCGTGGCAGGTACCCGCACTCACCCGGGTATATACAGGTACCTGCATAATACCCACACAATTCTTACTCAATAAAGTACAATAAAGTACACTATACATGTAACTAACATCTAAGTAACTAATCTGTCCAGCATTAAGCCTCACACAGTGAATAAGGAGGAGGAGGAAGGGAGGATGCTGACCTATAGTGATGGTGACACTGCCGGAGCAGGGAGAAATGCCATGGGGTCGTGCTAGGGTCGTCTAAAAGGCATTGACGAGGGCTTTCGAACGCCCTAAGAACGAAGGGAAACGATCAAAAAGCGAAAAAGATATGGACTGAACAAAATGATGGCTGAGTCAGACAGTGAGGGCAATGATAAGGGAGCAGCACCATGAGATGGTAACAGATAATGGACACTAAGGGAGCGTCAGAATATGTCAAAAAAGAGCTTTGAGAGCGTACCAAGCATGTAGGGAAGCACCCATCCGAACCCAAGATATCTTGAATATGCTCTCCATCCCCTGCCAAAACAAAGATCCTGCCATAACTCTGCAACGAAGTGGCCAATTTTAGCGAATAAGGGGTCGGTTTGAAGCCATGAACTGGGGATTTCGAACGCTTCTAGACGCGAGAAAAACGGGTGAAAAATCATGGAAAAATCATTGCCACAAGATATTGATCTGAGCTTATGAGGTGGAGATTTGATGTGGGTGGAGACTGTAGACACGTGGGAGTTCAGAATTGATGTCTAGGACCAAGGACTAAGGTAAAATGACTGACTGAACCATGTCTGGGCACCAGGAAGATCCGTGAGAGGGCAAGGTGGTGGGAGGAGAGAGTATTCCAGTGGCTGTGCGGGTACCTGTGACAGGTACCTGTCACATGCAGAGCCATACCCGGCATCCATGCAGCACCCAGGTGTCACGGATACTGTGACATCCACAGATGTGTACCTGCCAGGTATGGATGCTGGGTTACCCATGGGTACCTGTCAAATACCCGGCAATCATGAAGATCTCTAGTATCTTCCATGATCATGCAGATTGCCTATTCCACAAGACCATTCTGCACAGACGAGTGTGGAGCTGTCAACTCCAGTATAATGCCATGCTCCACACAATATTCGGCCCACTTAGACCCTGCGAAGGCCCTATCCACTCTCACATGCTTAACTTTATGTCCCGTTTGGGTCTCAGCCATCTTCCTGAACCTGTCAAAGGCTGCCACAGTTGTCTCATCAGATTTATCTGCCAAGAATTCCCTCACTTTGAAGGACATCCCACTGTCCACAATGACTATCATGTACATTTTACCGCTAACTGACGCCATCCTGGAGGGACCCCACAAGTCCGTGGCAACAAGATCTAGTGCATCCACCTCAGGATCTGTCAGTTCATTGAATGGACGGTGAGCTTGACATGCAAGGATACAGTCTTCACACTGCCCATGTAAAGAGTCAGAGGTAATATCGAGGCCATCAACGAGTTTCTTGGAGGCCATCTCCTTAATCATGGTAGGATTCATGTGTACAAAACGATGATGCCAGTCTGACAGTGAAGTAGGTGACGAGTGAGACGACATTGCCTGTGGTGAGGGTGCTGCATCAAGGGCGTACATCCCATCTGAACCTCGCTCAGCAAAGATCTCTTGACCAGACTGGTTACAGACAACCACATGTCCACTGGAGAATATGGTAGAGAGGCCAGCTTTGTCCAGGGAGCTAATGGACACGAGGTTTGCTGCCAGCGAAGGCAAGTGCAGCGCATTCTTAAACGTCAATCTGATATCCTTCCCATCCAGTCAGAATGTCTTAGAGACCATTCCCTTTCCAAGGATTTCAAATGTCCCCTTCCCTTCAATAGCAGAAGATCCTGTACAAAATGCAACAGGTGTGTAATCTGTGAAATCCTCTCGATTCTTGAAGAAATAATTGCTGGCACCAGAGTCCATGAACATCAGCATCAGGGAAGGGGTACGACCTTCAAAGGTAGTCATTACGAATGCCCGATCCTCAGGTTCGACCTTGCAAATCACCTTGTTCATCCCTTCATCCTCATCATCCTCGTACTCATCGTCATCGTTATCCACAGTAGTCAAGCCAGGCATATCATCATCCTCACTCTCAATGTTGGATTCATTCTCATCCTCATCATCGTCGACACTAGTCAGGGCAGGCATATCATTGTCTGTGTTTACCTCAGAGTATTCAGTGGTGGAGCTCACACTTTCAGTGTCAGAATCAAAGGTGCAATCAGATGATTCAGAGGATGCAGTAGAGCCTGACTCATCTCTCTCAGATTCATCCCATCTCCAGAACGATTGAGTCCCATTCCATTGAAAACAATGCTCCCCCGTATCCCCATCTTCCATGACAATGCCATTTCCATCATGCTCAGCCTCAAGGGTAACTGAACACACAGCAAGGACAAAATGCCATGGTGTATCGGCCGGGGCATTCATGGTTGCATAATTTGCTCACCTCTGGGGGCCGAAGTTAGAAGGGAACTGTCTCTCCTTTCTCCCTCCTGGCCAATAGCAATTTTCCGCAGTATGTTTTGTCTTATCTCATGCCTTGCAGCCAGGATTGGAGCATCCATGGGTAGGAGCCGATGATCCAGCTGCGAGAGCTTGGGACTGAGATGACCCTTCCCCACAGCACATAGAGTGGCTGCATGAGTCTGAAGGTGGGAGATAATATTGCTAGAGGACAGCAACTGGTATAGGCTTGGAAGAATTGGCATTCAGTTATTGGTGGGGAGAATTGACCAAATAATGATGCCATGAAATTCTTGATCTGTGAGAGGGGTACTATGCAGGTCATTGACTGTGAGCCTCTTTGTACAGAGCTTCGGAGACATGGGCATCGAGGTCACTATTTCCATCGAACTTGACTGCATTCAGGGACATCTCAGCCTCAGAGAGAGCCATATCAGTTTTCTTTACATGCTCAGCAATGATGGAGTCCCAACATTGCTTTGCTGTTCCATCGGTCCTTACCCCTAGTCCAATGGGGTCAAGAACATTAAGGATGATGTGGGAGTGGGCTAGTTGGTTGCAGGAAGATCCACTTGTCATGGGAAGGGTTCGACGAGTAGATGGGTGTAGGATCTGGTAGGTAGTGGAGTAGTTGTTGGTCCACTTGTGGGGGTCAAAGGGGCAGCAGGGCAGGGTATAGTACCTTCGATGTACCCCCACAATCCTTTCCCTTTCAGTAATTCAGTGAGTTGAAGTTTCCACAAGGCATAGTTCTTCCTGTTGAAGCGACTATTGGTGTCAGGGAGGAATAGTAACTCCTAAAGTGTCACATGATTACTTATCTGAGTGTACCCAGACCTGTTTTAGAAGGACCCGCAGTATCAAGAGCACACCTGTCACCCCCACCTCCACCCGGGTACCACTCCACCTGGGTGCCGCAGGTACTGGGTACTGGTTCTTACATGAGTACAGATTCTATAATGTCGATTATAAGATTAGTATACATTCTCATGGTATAATATCATACATTGAAGTCCACTACATGTCTAGGAATGACAAGGAGAGAATATAATGAAGTCTTCATGAAGAGCAAAAGAAAAAAGTTCAAAGAGTGAGAGATGTTGTATGATACACCTCCTGCACTTAAAAACTCACCAATTTTGGTATCCTTCAAATTTGCTGGCGCATTATGCCCCAGAGAGGAGGACTGCACTCTCAATATGGGGTGAATAGTGCAGCCACAGGAGAGCAAGGATGTTGTTGAGGTGACACAGCCATTTATTCATTGACTACGCTACAAGAGCTGTACAATACGGTGATGGCCATGACTGAAAGCTTGAAAGTACTGAATATCGACAACGCTGCTACTTGCCCTGAACTTGGAAATGAGTGCATTAACCTCGAGTATCCTGCAGCACGACATTCATGGGCAATTATCTTCTAATGCCTTGCTAGCTAGCACAGATCCCCCATCCACATGTAGGCCTGCAGATCCACCTGATGCTCTGCCTGGAAATTTGTGCACCACATCATACGATGCTCCTTCATCCACTCAAAAATCCGAAACCCAAAGTTCCAGTGTGCACGTTGAAGGTTGGGATTGGTCTTTTGAGTCCAATGGTGAAATGTTCGAAGGTCTGCAATTGCAGCAGAGCTATGGAAAGAGCAGACATTGCAATGTGCAAGCTGCAGACTTGAGATGGTGGGAGGAAACAGGGAAGACGACACCAAGTGTCGAGGCCACGTCAGTGCCAGTTACTGGTCCAGTTCAATGAGTAACTGGCTGGTAACTAAACAGCTGTTGCCAAATGTGGCAACCACCAGACTTTGAAGGAAATAGTAGCTGGACACTAACTACTGTACAAATATGTCCCATATTTACAATGTATTTAATGGATAATGGTAGAATAGCCACTGGATGACTATCGGTCAATTGTACTCCCTAATGAAAGTATTTTCATTCAATATTGTACCTGAAGGATATTTGATAGCATATATTTAGACCAATCCTTGACCAGTCCAGTTCCATGGTGACAGGAAAGCATGTATATTCAAAGTACATCAATGTAGACACAATTGCACTGCAACTGCTTCTACTATGACCAACACAATAGCATACCTCGAAGCCCCATAAACATACTCGCTGTAGGCCCATCTGGTCTGAAGTCAAATACCAAAACACGAGCTCCCACACAGCATGTATGCCAATTCAGATGCTCCTGCAGAGAATGTCAGAAGTACAAATATGAAGTTGCCCTCCGAGCCTTCAGTGTGCATTCAACCTCCTGCACTGGAGGAAGCAATAAGAAACAAGAAGCCAAAGAAGGAGATTGCCATACCAAGTCATCTCACCGATGCAACACAGCCCACTTCAGGAGATCTGGTCATACAGTACAGTGATCCTCTCAGGGCTCCCTCCATTTAGCATACCAGGATCTGTCACTCAGTCTTCGATGATGAGCATGCTGTGAGTTGAATATTTGTGCAGACCCTAGTATTGACTCACCGGGAATGATGCATTGCCAGGAGACCGAGTGGTTAGTATGAAGACTTGAGACCGCTTGCCAGTGTGACTACTACTACTTGAGGTTAGATAGCTTGAAACAAAAGGAGAGCACTTGAAACACACCGGATTCTGGATCTCCTCTCCAAGCGTCCACTTGAGATCGCTTAGCCCAGCCACCAATCATCAGACATGTACCCTCGACTCCCAGCTTTGATCCAGCTCTCATCCAAACACCACGTACTACAGAATCAAAGCTCACAAATGATACGTGCTCTGCTTTTTCTTACTCAACTGCTGCTGCCGAAGACTGATGCCTTTGATGACACCTTACCTGCTCCAAACATGAATTCGATGCTGACCATAACAGACATTACCACACACCTTGTATCTTCAACTGCTCACAGTCAACTTGACAAGACCCCATCCAAAAAAGCACCTTTCAAAAAGCATTGTCAGAAAAACCTCAGTAGATCATACAAGGCTCCACACCAAGAAGACCTCCAGCTTCATCAACATTGTCTAGAACCTCAGTAGCCCATCGCACCCTTATGATGCCTGTCACTTTCGACCGAGTCAGGTATTCTCCCACTACATCTGCATTGGACTGCAGTGTCCACAACACCAAAGACTTCCCCCCTTCTCAGTCCCAAGCATACCGTCTCAGTCCTCCTAGATATCACCAGGCAAGAGCCTGTTGAAGTGCCAAATGGCATGGTCTTGTTGTGCAAGTCAGACAGCAGCACGATGTGTCTTGTGATGATGGTCGAGGTCAGAGTTAGAGTTGGATGATGTCGGCAGTCAGACTTCATGACATGGCACAGACCGTGGACCTCGGAGTACTTATACTCATCTATAGTTGAAGAAATCTTGAATCAAGTCTGTACGAGTCATGTCAGAATATGCCTAGAATATGCATGGAATATGATTTGTATTTTGAAGATAATGATGGAGCGAATACAAGATCAATATCAGTCTATTATCCTGTAATTATAATAGGTAACAACATGATAGCCACAGCAACTAATTCGGTCCAAAGTCCAGTGGTTAACATCGAAACCATCTCCTGCCCTCACTGGCAGCCCTCTACCATGATCCTCTCCCTCTGTTCTCACCGGTCACCCCTTGTGTCCTTGACCACAATCAATATCGTCCTATTGACTTTACAAAGTCAACAACTCCTGCACCACTCCTTGAAGAATCCCTGACTTTACAGCAATACTCAACCTTGCGATTGTGCTGATCTCAAGATGACGAGATGGTGATAACTGCACTCGAGCCTCAAGTCTCGCAAACGCAGCTCTGATGAGGTGTTGATGGCTGGGAATGGGAGGTAATTTGTTGCAGGAAGGGTCACATATGGAAAATTCGGACTTGGGAAGCTCAGATGGGGCTCCCATTCATATGTTCTCATCCTCTGATGTTCTGACATCTCATGGAGCAGATACATACATCCTCAATAAATCTACAAATGGGAGGGCATGTACTCTGTTACCTAGCAAGATAGATCTGACAACAACAATGCCATCGGATACCCAATTACCTTCATGTGCCAAGCATGACACCACACTCGACCTTGGAGCACGATGGACCCTGATCCGATATGCAGGAACTAATGACGACACTTATGAAGCCTGGAAAGGCCAGGACATGTGTCGGATGAGGCATTGATATTGTTGAAGGAGGATCATTATGGACAGAGGACCCCAAAGATGGTGCATTTTCGACTCGGGGAACATGGACGACGCTCTCCAACATGCCCATGTATCCAACACTCCTGGTGCTCAGACTGGGTGTACCCCTTTCCCCGACCATGCCAGTCTAACCTCGGCCACATTGTCTGTCCCTGGATTCCCTTCAGACCTTGCACAGGCCAAGGTGCAGGATCTTCACGTTGAGACAACGGAGACGCAAGGGAATTTCACTCTGAGGACGACTCTGACAGTGCATTTTGTCCCAGGAAGCAAGATCGTGTCCCCTCCTTTGTCATGCTCTTCAGAGAATGGTGCAATCACCATGCTGTCAGCTCTTTCAGCCTTGTCGGGCACCCTGGTCGCACCTTACATGCTAGGATTGAGACCTGCCCGACCTTTTCCCTCTAATGGACAATCCTTCAGCTAAACACTTTGGCCTGTCATGTGCTCATTCTTCTGCGAGGAGTGACAGTGCACACTTGTCAAATGGGGTGGGGGGGTACCACTGTTCATTTTCAGTGCAGTAAATGTCGCCAAGGCTTCGCATTCTTCTGGGATCAATGTGTCTTTTTCCGTGAGGTTTTCCAAGTGAGCAGCGATTTGGATTTGTCTGATGGGGGGGAGTCTACCAACGATGACAAGCCCTTCGACCAAGGGTATTTGGACTGGATCGGGAGTCTGCAGGCTGATGAATTGCCACAGGAGGGACCAGACAATGATGCTGGAGATTATCCGGCTGATTACAATGTAGGGATATGACCAAGGCTATGCTGATGCATATGACGACCACTATGAGGATTTGGAGATCGACACCTACAAGTCCAAGGAGGACACTGTTGATGAGGGTTATGATAGCCCGACTTCAAGCAGTGTGGAAGAGTGAGTTTGCTGTTGTATATTTATTTGGCATTGCGAATATACATACTTCGCTGCTATCTGTCTTCCCTCAATCTTGAATGGCTCCAACAGCCTGTACGATGTGGGCAATTATCTGCTAGACATTATCGATGACCTGTACTGGATGTGGCAACTGCAAGTGTAGGAATGCTGGCATCTTTGTTTGGGCCAGACAGATTTAGTAAACATGGCTGAATTTTGCTTCTTCGTCTTATGATCCATGGCATGTACTTGGGCATTGAAATATTGACGCGTTGACAACCGTGTTGAACTGTAATGCATCTTTGTTCGCTCTCACTCACCAAACAAAGCAGACCAGTCGTTCAGCTCCACATGGGATATTGTCCTATGCGGTGTTCTTTTTCTTTGTGCACTATACTTTGCACGTTACTTTGTATGTTTTTGCTGTCTTTTTCAGATCCCTGCTCATTGTTCCGAAATTCATAGATAATGTTCTTCAAGCTTCTTGCACCTCTTCCAGTCATATAAAGCCCTGGCCCTATGCTAACTTCAGAGTCCTGCACTATCCTCCACCTCCATGGCACCCCTCACCAGCTCAGCATGCTCAAAACACATCAATACACAGTCTGGTACCATGAGCAAATGCAACTGCTCTGATGGTGCCACTGATAATGAGGCTGACATCACTGACACTGGCTCTGCTGAGCAACACTTGTGTTGTAAACGCCCATGTCACGTCTCCGATGATGGCAGTCACAATGAAGAAGCATGCAACTTCGAGGACATTGAAGCCTCTACCACTGAGGCTGAGTCTGTTTCAACCCACAATGTGTCTACTCAGGTGGAGCACGATGGCCTGGCCCACACAAATACAGAGAATTGCAGGCAAAAATATATCAGGAAACTAGGTTCATCAATAGTTGGTCATGTTCTGTCCAGCGCTAAGAGTCTCTACAAAGAAGATGAAGACAAAATGGCATGCCCAAGCCTACAAGCACTTCTTTGACAATGTCGATGTGATATGGAATTCCAATATGAAGCAATGGGCACAGGAGTTTACATGTCAGCAGTGAGTGGTATGGCCATTTGTAACCATTCTCATTGTAATATTGTTTTTGCAGCTCTGGCGTCAAGGTTCATCACCTTTTCAGCAACAACTGCACCTTAAACCTCAACAACCATATGAAGTCCTGCGCAAAGCAGCAAGCTGCTGCTGAGAAAGCCACGGCAGAATGCAATGGAGAGCCACCGTTGCAGCAGTCGAGCTTGGTTCCGTTCGTCCAAGGTAGCACCTATACAAGTGGACAACTGCGGCTCTATGAGGTTGAATGGGCAGCAAAATGCCATTGTCCATACCGCATGTTCAAGGACCCCCCTTACTGGAATATTATTCACATGTTCAATCCCAACATCAAAATGCTGTCTGCCGATACTGTCACCCATGATGTGAAAGAAGTCTACCAGATCACAAAGAAACAGGTAGTAGCCTTACTTCGGGTGCATTGAAACACAAATACTCAAGTTCTTGTTCACTAATGAAGTACTTCTATAGAGTGCACGCTGATGAGCCTAAACTTCTGTGGCAGCGGCAAAAACTAAAACTCTAGAGGAGTTCACAGCAAATGGCGTGTAGTGGCAATAAAGGCTTTGTTGTTGTGCGAGTGTTTCGGTGCACCTCCGTGTGATGAATTCCTCAAGAACGCAAGTATACACTGCGACTTTTCAGTCAGCAAAGTAGTACCCTTAACGATTGAGTACTAGAAAACGTTGGCTGTAAGCCGGGAAGGGTCTCGATAGACGAGAAGGAACAGAATCCGGTATAACTGGGAATACTGGCAAACCATGAATGAAGTGATGGCAATTTAACTAGTAAAAGCCGTGGGCGATGTTGATGGAATTAGAGAAAATGCTGTCAAAGAGCAATACTGTTGGCAAGATAACAAATACCGTGATGGCAAGAGACGAAGACTGTAGTCGAGAAACGAGAAACTGGCAGTAAAACGAAGATAAGACAGGACTGGTGATGATATGAGGAGGAACTGGTGACGGCAAAACGATGGCTGGGACTGGGCTGGACTGAAACTGAAACTATACTGAGGTTAACGACGGCAAAATGAAACTGATACTAATCCTGAGTCTACACAGGAGACTATCCTATACTGAAACTGACTGGCAAGATACCAAATACCTGTGACTGATGATCCTATACTGAAGCTGTTGACCGAAATTCCATGACAGATGCTGCTGGCAGGCAATAACGATCCTAATCTGAGTCCACACTGGGGACGTAACGATACTGAACTGAACTGGGTAAAACTGATGGCAACGTAGAAGGTGAAAACTGATGAAAATGATCCTGGCTGGTGAAAGTGAAACTGATGCTGGCGGATTAAAAGATAAAAGCGAGTTGTGGACACCAAATTCCAGTGTATTGGCGCAATATGAGCATACACCAATACCAGTTAGAAGAAAAGCCAGTGACAGAGAGTATAACTTGGAGTGACTATGTTGTTATTGTCTATCTCCTAGCGAGTACAAGTGATAACGGTGGTCGATAACGTGGATGATGGCTAGTGTCCAGTAACTCCTTGCAACTACTACTACACTAGCTTTTATACTACAAGTCCGGAATAAAATTAGAATACTTGAAACGAGTCCTTAGTAAGTCCTTAGTACATCGATTGGTAAGAAATGATACAAAACGCATGCTCCCAGAGTTCTAAAGTAACAGCACCCACACGGTTTTACTGCGTATAGACTTAATGATTAGAAAGAATTCCCCCAACATACGGACTCTTGGGCTGCTGTGTTGCTGCGGCAAAGTACACTGAAGGTAGTACACTGAAGTAGATGCGTGCGGCATTATCTTGGCATTGTAACAGCCTTAGTAAAGTGAGTGGAAAGGTCACGGTATTAGGTCTTTTGCCGTGGAGTTGGTACTTTGACTGTGGCATTCTTCTAAATGATGCTTGATGCTGATGTCATCGATGGCTGTGCTGAGCGATCAATGATGGTCCTAAATCCGTGAGATCTGCAATCAGGTGCCTGGCGGCATTAATGAAGTGGCGCAGATTGATACGGAATACGAGCTGGGAAGGATAGTTGGCGGTAAGAGTGGGTATTGCCGTGATTGCAATCGTTGACTTAGTGAAAGTCTGCTAAGTGGACAAGGCATTTATTATAATGCTAAAATCTGCGAATTCTGAGCATACAGAGCCTTGAGGCTCATCAACACAGGCAAGATACATGTTGCTCAGGATGGTTGGGCAGTGCCACAAAAGCTATCTCTGATGGGTCTGGTTGCAATCTGGGTAGCTGATGGCAAGCTGCAGACATTGATGCTGGACATGGTGCAGTGAGTCAACCCAGTGTTATGTCTCTTCACTTTTAGATGCTCATTTCTCTTCAGTCTTCACAAGTCTCATACTGGTAGCAACCTCACAGAGGCCTTTTCCAAGTCTCTGCAGGAATTCGGTATCGTTGACCGGCTTTTATCTGTTCCTGGAGATAATGCCTCCAACAACATGACTATGCTGCAGGCTTTGAAGGCTCCCGGATGTCTCCCACACTCTCACATTGCTGGTACTAAAACACAAGTCCGCTGTGCAGGGCACATTTTTGACTTATGTAACAAGGTATGTACTCTTCATTAAATCGTTTGTGGGGACGTCTTTGATGAGTTCTTCCAGGCCATATTCTGCCCGTTCTTGGTCAAATCTAAATGTGGACAAGACAATGATGATGACGAGTGGTTAGAAGATGACGAAGATGACGAACTCAATGAAGAAGAGTGCGAGCTAGCAGAAGAGTTTACAAATGAAGAACAGGAACAGCAAGAAGAAATGACTCTTGAAGAGCTCTTGGTGGCTATCGATAACCTTGCTGAACTGGAGGAGGAAGATGGCAACCTGGGAAGAAATGCTGTCATGAAGGTAAGCCAATGGCTTGTACTCGCTGTCAGGAACTGATGGTAACAATAGATCTGTAAACTTGGGTGGCATATCTTCAACAATGGATTGATGCAAACTGACCTTGAGGCCAAGTGTGAGCTTGTTGGTATCAAGATCCAGCAAATGATTCAAGCTGTCGTGACTCGATGGTTGACTCAGGGGTGCAGCATGCCCTAGAGCTCCAACCTGCCTTGGATGCGCTTTGTGATGAACCAAATTGGAACCCTGTGTGTAACCAAAAGAAGTGCATCCAGAAATACAAGCTCGATGAAGACCAGTGGACATTCCTTGAACAGCTCGAGCCTGATGCTAATCATAAGCAACTCCTCTTCTTTCATGAATGCGATCTGATTTTCCATTAGATGCTTGCCCTTGCCACTGAGTGGATGTCTACGTCACAAAGGCCACTGCTCTATGAAGTCATTCTGTTATTTGATTCACTCATCAACAGGTTCAAGGACTTCATCGCCAATGAGGAGTTATTCTCTGGTGTTCATGCAGCTGCAATTAGAGGCTATGCTGTTCTTTGTAAGTATTACTCAAAGACAGATGACTCTATTATGTACCGGATGGCCATGAGTACATTGCTCTCTTGTTACTCGATGTGATTTCTCACCACATTATCTTTCAGTCTTACATCCCGGTTACAAAATGGAGTACTTCCGAAACATGGAGTGGGAGCCTGAATGGATCGACTGTTGCTATGAAATTGTTCGGGATGTCTGGAAGCGGTATTACCAACCACAAACAGTTGTGGCTGTGACCACTGAGAAGCAGGTAAGTATTGCTTTTACAATGACAACGTGATTCTTATACTGTTCTTAGAAAAAAGGCAAATCATTTTATGATGTCTTTCCTGAATTGTCTCGGAAGGGGTGTCATGATGATGATGGGGATGCCCTAGAGAAATATCTCAGTGGCCCCATTAGTGATGACATCGAGGATCCTTTGCACTACTGGACTAGCCTCCTCGATGAATGTGATGCATCTGGCAAAGTGATCTGAGTAACGTCAAAGGGAGCGCTAGCACAAATGGCGTTAGATTTTTTGTCTGCACCCGGTATGTCTGACTGATTAACATCCAAGTCATTGATTGATCTTGCTTTTCAGCTACCTCAACCGATGTGGAGCAGCTCTTCTCTCATGGAGGGCTTAATGTTACGAAGCGCTGGCACAATCTCTCTGCTGAGTCGACTATTGACCAGACAGTCCTGAACTCATGGTTCAAGTGTCCCGGTCTCATTCCACAAGATCTTGTTTCTGCATATTTCAATGATAAACACAAATGGCCTAATAACGGTGGAAAAAACAGGTATGCAACTGATGGTACAACTAGTTCAGAGGTTATAGTGCTTGACAGGGATTAACCTAGTAGTCTGTTATTCTATATACTACATTTCTGTTGTATAAATTCTATTCAGATTTCTCCTCATTTTATGAGTGCTGTGCAGGGTTGACCCAGTGGTCCACTTGTCAGGCCTTTTGGATATCCGTCATCTGCCTGGAACCTGTACCTGTCAACCCATGGAGCATTCTTGGACCTGAACCTCTGCATCCATGCATGGGTGGATACCTGGGTGTACCTGTCAGGGGATGTAATCATGCGACTCTTTAGTAACTCCCGACGTGGTCAACGACATATTAGGGGGTGTATTCAACAGTAATAGTTGGGTAGGTGTGTGGTTTGGTAAGTGTGGGCAGTGGGCCATGGTATATTGAGTCGATAAAATTTGCTGCATATCCTATCTGACTGAGTTATAGGCAATGGGGCGACATAACCTAAAGACAGAGGATATAAGTATAGATCTCAGTCAGGGCACAGCAAAGGTGGAACGACTATATTGAAAGGTACTGTACCTAAAGACAGAGGATATAAGTATAGATCTACGAATGAGTGTGAGTATGTTATAAGCTAAGGACGGTAAGGTATACATACCTCAGTCAGGCACAGCGAAGGTGGAATGACTGAGGTACACGGGTATCGACGGCTAGGCTATATAGGTGATCGAGTAAGGACAGGGGTGATATATATATAGTAAGTAAGAACGAATGACGGTGAAAGATAACAGGTAAAAAGGTATACAGTACTGGATATCTTCAACATGTAGAACTTGGGACTTCTCGAAATTGAAGATCACTGGCGGCTCAGTGGAAACAGTCGAATAGCGATGATGCTACTGTAAGAATCCACCCCCTGCCAGCTGCGACTCTTTGCTGACGTTGAGAACAGATTTCTGGCAGATTGTATTAGGTTGATGATAGTAGCCTTATAACCTATGTGGTACATAATATTTCAGTATCTCTTTCTACTAATATTCCCCGAGGTCTACCTGTCAATCCGACAGCCTGAAATGTATTCTTAAGATACTCAGTAAAGCTCTACCTGAAGTCTACCAATTTTCTTCTCTCCTCTTGGGCTAGATACATCGGCATTAGTTTTAATTAGGGGGTGATGGCTCTGTTCTTCTGACTGCTGAGCTTACGTCTCACATTCGTTTCAATAATGAGATGAGGTTTAGCATGTGAGCGGCTTGGATATTTGATGAAGAGTCCAAGAGAATATTTACAGCACACTGTTACCAGATTCCACTAGGCAAATATGTAATTCGACAAAGCAACAGGACATTCAGAATGGTGAGACTTTGCAGGCCACATTACAATGGCTATAGTACTATCAATCAGAGGTTTGACTTCGTGAAACAGGACAACACTGCAGGCTGATCATCTTCAGATACCTGGGTCCATGGACATTGGATCAAGCTAGTGATGTAAGCTGCTTTGGGCTGTGTGCATAACGCACCATGTGTTTCCTCCTTCCATCTTGCCTGTTTTTTCCAATACAACTAGTTCCCCCCTTCTCCTGCAGTCTTGTCTTATAAATTGTTATGTATACCTAGTCTCTAGAGCTCCGTTCTCTCTGATTCTACCAAGTCAACAATCCGAGGCTGAATCTGCCTGGTTCTGCCAAGAGCCTGTTCGCTGACACGTCCATGCCAGAAGATCCACCTAGCTCAACTCTAGTGATTGATACAGTGCAGGTCCGACATCAAAGCATAGAATTACTTCATCTCACTCCTTGCCTCAAGAGGCCCCACCAGTGATTCCTTTGCATGCCCTTCTTCTTGATGGTGCAGCATCAATCTTATAGTACTAGTCAGCGTTACGAGACATATGGGATGAAAAAATCTATACTACAATCAATACTGTGCTGTGCATCATTAATTAATCATACAGCATTTGTTCCTCCTGGTTCCCATGGTCTAACGTCGAACTATAGCTGTGTTGATTGTTGATCATGCTTACAATGCACTATAAAGAGTGTGTCTGTGAGCCTGCATTCGCTTTATCGACAACAAGATGGATTTGGATATATCTATCCGTGGGGTTGTACATTGTGGGTAGTATATTTTCTTCTTCAGGTATCTCTGACCAAAGCGCAGCTATAACATGGTCATTGATCTCATGGGACTATCTTATAACCATCGATGATGAGGTTCGCTCTCACCCAATCCTATCATAGCGAACTTTCCATTAACTGGCTTGAAGGTCACTCTCTTTTGGGTACGTCTTCATTCTAACAAGGCTTTGTCTCTCTTTCACACCCAACAAATGGATGCACAGTTTTCAAGAAGGTCGTGGATCAAATTTTTATTCTTTACTGTAAGTTACTTTCAGGTGGAAGACACAAGTCATTGAGGTTAATATTTCAGAATTGCCTATCTGGGACTCGTTTTATGGATCTGGGATGTCATCAGTGCAGTCATGTCCGATGTCATCATCTCTAGCTACTGAATTTGTCCTACTAGACGAAGTACTTGGAGATAAAGTGAGTCATGTTTATGGCTTCAAAGTCTTCTAATTCTTCATTGACCAATATAAGCTGTGGGATCCATATCAGTTAGTCCAGTTTGGATAGTCTGACTTCTTTTCTGAGCCTCAAGTGCAGATGCGGAAAAGGTACCTATCTGCGCTTCTTTTTACACCAATTGTTAAGGGCTTATGATGTGCACCGTGTCTCTGCAGCCAGCAAATCGTGGGCAGAATCAGATCTCTGTTATATGAGCACTGAAACCTGATTCAGTTATATATGGTACTGCTTCCATTTATTATCATTCAAATATTTCCATAACTTTACATCCACATACAGTGACATTGCAGCTCCTTGTCATCGAAAGTATCCTTATCCTCAGAATCTGGGCAATGATGGGCAAGCAGCAGTGCACCTCTTATGGATTTTCTTTAGCCTGTTCACCTGCAGCACGTGTGTATCTATCATGATGTCTGTATACTTTGTCTCCGGTGGAGCAAACTATTCATACCCGTGAGTGCTTCATCACATATTATGATCCTCACTGCAATTTATTGTCCAGAATACCGACTGCAATATATGAGGCTATTATCTTCATCACTGCAGCATGTTATGGAATCAGGCAATCAGGAGGTCTAAGGTCGCTCTTGTTCCGAAATACAGGCCAGTTTCAGTATGGTCCCGAAGCCTATCATATGTCTACTCTTACAAGACACGGTTCTCTACTTCGCAATGTAAGCATCCTCCTTTGTTATGCCTCCTTGCACATATTCAGCATTGCCTGTTTATAGAGTGCTCCTTTCCCTCCCAGTTATTGCGATTTTAGTACATTCACATGGTTGTCTAAATCGATGAGCATTGACTGCTACCTTGGATATAGACTCCCAGCTTGGGCCTGACGATCATGAGTGTCACAATAAATTGTATGCTTCTCAGGTCTTCAGGAGGCAGGCTAATTCCGACAGCCATCATTCAGTCTTCCCAAGGAGAGGAATTAGCAACTTTCAGAGCTAACACGAATGAGTGATATCATTATGGGCGAGGAAATATGTCGTGAATATTGGGTCCCGATATTACATAGATTGAGTAGAGAGAAGCTAGATCGGTTTTTTCTTTGCTGATGTCCAAGAATGATATATCCTACATGAAGTGTTGTTACACCATCTTCGCACACTGCATCATATATGTTGTAACTGTATGTGGGAATTTCGCTACTTGCCTCTAGTTTCATCATTACCCTAGAAACTGAAAAAAGGACTTGCCAATGAAGGCCTTAGATGACTGAATGATCCATCCCCGTTTGACAACAAATGTGTACTTTTTGTAGGTTCTTCCGTGGTAAAGGACAGCAACATGTACGGAATGCTATCAGGGGCTGGCTGTGTCTATTGACAATATCAAGTTTACCACTTATCCCATTCCACACCTCTCCTTCGAGTACCAATGTAATCGGACAATACCAGTCAGGGGAGCAGCTTCAGTTGCAAAGACGTGATATCATCTAAAAGCTCCTGGAGTGTTGGTCTTTGTTCAGGTGTCGATGACTGCATTTGAGCAATCATGACGAGGAGGGAATATGCTATCCTGTTATGGATATTGGGTATCCACTGATTTGGTGCATGAGTCAACACATGCCCTGAACTCGGCCTTCTCGGTCCTAGTAGTGACTCGCTCGTACTTTCTCTTACTTTCTCTATTCTTCATATTGATACTAGAATATTATGGAACATTATAGAATAATAATGACTCTAATCTTTCCTTAGTATATAAACTCGTAGGTAACATTGTATTAGACAGCTTTTACCAATCTACCACTTTCAGGACACCTTCACTGCGTGAACCCTCAGCTACACCTAGCGCTTGCTGAACAACTCGTTGGATACGCCTAGCGCTTTCTGACACCAACCCGAAGGTTATGCTTAGCGCTTGCCTTCACCCATGGCCCGTAATAGCTTCGCGCTTACAGGCTTTCTATATCGGTAATTGCTCCACACTTACCGGCTATTTCCTTCAGTAATTGCTTCGCACTTACTGATTTCCTTTATTTCACAAACTGGACCTCTCAGGTCTCCTCATGAACCCTCGCCGGAATCCATTATATTCCCTAACGACGTACATCATTTCTAATTAATCATACCTCATTTTGATCATCACTCCTCACCTCGTGCTCACATCTCCGGATTTCGGCAGATCCATAACATATCCTTGTTGTTTGCGTGTGTAAGGGATTTGCTCCCTGCAAGTTAGTCCATCAAATGTTTACTTGAGAAAAAGATGGCAGACTCACTTCCGCTCCGCCAGTGCTCATATACTGTGAGGAACATGCCAATGAGATGTGTTGGGGATTGATATTAATAGCACACACCTCATCAAACACTTTCATCTGAAGTTTAGATTAGTAGTGAACGGAAGGCAGGACTAGGATACGTACCATCTTGTCCATATCTAAGACGTCCTAGAGCAGAGGTTCAGCACGTCAACAGGTGTCCTGACATTTTCCACTTGCCTCGGCGAAGTATGTCCCAAATACATCATCGAATGATGCATCCTCTCGAGTAGCCTTTAGTTCCTGTAGGAGAAGGTTAAGTTTGAACATATTGTCAATTAGAAATACTCCTCACTTTTTCGATGAAGCCTTTCACTTCTGTATTCATGTCGTTGTTAAGCATTTGGCCTAAATACCACACATCCACCTTGAAGGGACAATAGGGATCGCCAACCAGCATTTCCAGGGCGTATTCTTGAGCATACTCTCCCATTCTTCCTACTCAGACATTCGGCAGACCGGTGATTTTCCTGCTCGCAGGATCTGAGTCCTTATCGAAACAAACCGCCAATTCGAAATCGGTGATATAATATCGAATAGGGAATTGAGACCGAAATGGCCAAGTGACATTAGCTTGGGTATTTCCATCAGGCTCCATTCGGGCTCCTAGATCATTGAAGAGTATATTGTCGCTGTCAAGATCCTGGAGTATTTTCAGTGTCATATAGTCAGCTAGTGGCAAAATGTACAAGATGCACAATCAAGTTGTCATGACAGTACTTGACGCCCTGGCAAAAAGAAAACAACAGATTCATTTAAACTCAAGAATGTCTAGATGATCGCCATACTCTGAATATTTGCACCAGATAATCAAGTATCTCTTCCATGTTGTAGAACCACGGTGTAGACTGGCACCCGCTTTGAGAAAGAAGAGGGAAAACAGCGAATCTAAGCCCATCGAATTCGAGTTCAGTTCAAGAGAGGAAGTGAGTAGTTATCTCCTCTAAAAGCAGTTGGTCCTTGAGAGAGGCTGTCGGAGGGCTTCATAGTGCTCGTTCCCATGGTGGTCGCCCTCAATGCTGACTAAACGAATGAGAACGTCCTGATTATGTGCGCGCCAGACAGTGAATATTATTCTGAATGCTTGGTAATGAGCAAGAAGGACCGAAAGCTCCCAAAAGATTGAACGTACGAGGTGGCAAAAGTTCATTCTTCCAATGTCGATGCCTGGTTCGCATTGATAACGACTCATGAAGGTGTATCCATCAGGTCGACGAGGTTCGTCATTTGGCAGGAAAAGATCTAGATGGTGTTGATACTCATTTTCCAAGCCCTGAACATTCATATTTATCCACAAGGTGTAACCGTTTTCCTGGAAGAATTCTCGAAGTGGCTCACTGTCTCCAGAGATCGTATGGCCAACTGCCCTCTGGTTTCCAGCATCTGTCATGCCATTCCTGTATTGTCTTTGGCCATTCGAAATGTGTCATGGATCAGGAGCACGAGCAAGGTGGTGATAATCTTTAGATTGATCTCCAACATTCAACATTACACTGCCAGAAGATTAGAACTCCTGCCTCCCTACCATTGGGAGGAGTATGAACTCCATCGTGGTTGATACCATGGACCGATCTCGCGACTGGAGGTGAGCATCACGTCCGTTGAATTCAAGCTCGTTCATGAAAGGAAGTGCGTAATTATCTTCTCAAAAAGCTCATTGGAAGAATATACTATCCGATTCTACACAAAGATGGACAGGGAAAGATGATAGTGTTGGTGAGAAGCCATAGATAACCGGTGGTCCCAAAAGAGAACACAGAGTTGGCAATTTTTGGCCGATCATTCTTCCTTTTCATCCACCATCAGCTCTATATAGTATGCGGTCCTTGGTGACTGACTGGCATTCTCGCTACCTCAGTTTAACTGGAACAAAACATGTTCATAACACCATGAAGGCACTATCAAGGGTGTGTTCGTATTGTCATCCATTAACGTTTAACGTGACCTCTGGTAGGAACATCTCGCAGGATATCAAGCATAGGATACATTCATTGCACTGCACCATAAAACCGGTCGTTGAACAGCTCACTTCCATACAAATTGTAGCCCGTACGACCCGAAATGACTGCAACGACTGGAGCCCGATATATGCGCATGAATGTGAAGTGGTGGGCTGTCGCGGGGCGTGGCATATCCGAGTCCTGTGCGAAAGAGGGAGGAGAGCATGCCTAAGTTCGCTCTTATTCATTGGGAGGTGACACATTCAAGGAGAAGACACCATTCTCCCTTTTGCTTGAGGGCTTGGACCCAGTCAAAACTCTGTGGACATCGGTGGACAACCATAGATGATCATAGATTTATCGATGAACATCAGCAGATGTCCAAAAATGGGCCTTTTCATGGCCTTTGCATTGACGTCAATCAATGCTCATAGACCATTATTGACCTTTGTCTGTGCGCATCTGTAGGCATCCATGTATATGTATAATGGCATATTTATAATATACATGTCCAAGTCCAAGTCCCGATCCTCCCCAGACATATTCTACCACCACATCTCTAATAATCGGCATTGTACAACAGTATAGGATCCATTCCGTGCAGAGTGAGTCTGGAGAGTATGCGCTGGTAGCCTGATGACAGATATAATCAGCGTTGGGGATGAGAGATTGTGGATTTCAGCAGACTGTGACAGATTTATGCAACCGGGCGGCGTCAGTCCGTGATATCATGATATAGGCAGAAGGCCGAAATCGCACCATGAACGGCGTAGGTGGTAATGAGGGCGACAAGTACAGGTGCGGAAATGCTTAGGACCGTCAGTTACTATAGCAGAAAAAATGATGAGAGCATGGATAAGAAACAAAAAAAGCACTCACCCGATACACGCATGTCACATCGATTCCTTCGTCGCCATTCCATACAACTGGATATATGTGCCAACCATGGCACAAATAAGTGATTTGCTTCGCCGAACAAGACTCTGAAGACCGTTCTGAATGAGATAATGAGTAATAGAAACTGAATGAGCGACATACCATTGCTAATGGTCCCGAATATGGAAACAGCAGTGCGTTGTTGGTGGCCCATGGTGAGAGAAGCAATAGATAGTGCAGTATTGCATGACAGGGATGGCAAGGCGACAGCAGGAAGACGGAAAAAAAGGCGGCATGAATAGGAGAGGTGGTAGTAGTAAGAAGGAAAGGATGGGTGTGGGAGTCCTGATTGGGACTTACTTGTGATTCCACATGTGGTATCAGGTACGATAAACGCGGGCGTCAGAAACACCCCAGGGGACCACGAACAAAACCGAGCTGGCGACTTGTGATGACTCCGGATTGATTTGTGCACACTTCTTTCTTATTATGCATATCATATATGACTAGAGCATCGATGGACATCGACCGGCATATGCAGGTAGATGAAAAATCAACACACATCTGTGGGCATCACCTTACGTCTCCAGACTTTTGACTGGGGCTTGGAGGCGAAGGCAATGGAGGGTTATCATGTCATGGTCACGATCGATTATCAAGGGTAGCCAGTCACTAGTCATCATCCGTACATCCATGGAAGGTGTTGTTGTTTGGCCCAGCAGCTTTTCTTTCAATAGTATGACAGATGATCTCAACGGGAACTGCGTGGAAGCCGTAGAGGATAATAGATGAGGTGGGTTGAGTTGCAGGACATGACAGGAGGCTTGGAATTAAGGATGCATTTCTGCTCATGTACTCGGGGTTAACAGCTTAATTGATTGTGGTGTGTAAGTCATCCTCCTTCCTGATGCACATATATTGAATGTTGTGTCTCTTCCTGTGTTTCCTTTGAACCTTAGCATGGCAGCCCACCACCAGCATTCATTCTCAGCAAACCCCCTAAACGCGACAGTGGCATGGAAATGGTCATGGGATGGAGGAGCTCCATTCCGGGCAGCAGTGAATTAAGTACATTTTATTGACTCATCCGCCTTGTCAAACCTTTGGCTCATCTTCAGCGCCTGATCGATCATCCTTAGGCCAATCAACAATTCTCCTACCCTTCTTCTAATTCGAGCTACCTTCCCTGATGCCACCATGACTGAATAGAATGTCACTCCAAGTCCGGACGCTATCATTGGATTATGGATAAAGTATCTATATGCCCTACCCGTACTCAAAATATTGGTGGATCAAAGCACTTTCTACGGCGATGGATGATAAATTACGGATGCTGGACTTCTGGCAATTTTCCCACCGTGATCCTGCAGCCTCTGGAAGTGTGAACCACTTCAACAGTTCTTTCAAAAACACGGTTACACCTTGTGGCAATCTCTGTACAAGATTGGCAAGAGAGACAAAGACTGTCTAGAGCTTATTTTGCTCAACAGTAAACCTCGTCAGCCAGATGGCTACACCTTCGCGACTCGTTATCAATATGAGCCTGGCATCGTCATTCACAGACCGAACTTTTGTCACATGGCACGTACTATCTATTGGCAGTGTCCTATATGACGACTTCATATTTCTCGAGGTTCTTTACCAAGGCTCCCCATCTTCCTTTATGCCAAGTCAATATATCCTTCCATTCCTTGCTATCTGCCCCATAAACAATGGGGATCCACAAGAGCCACGCGCTGATAGTGAAATCCACGTAGGAAATGATGTCTCCCATGAAGTACTTGTCATCCTCCTTCATCCAGGCATCGATCTTCCTGAAATCATTCCTCAGTCATGCCCACTCCCTCTCCTTATCGGCGCCCTTTGGAGCCACTTCCTTGAATGTCCTCCCCTTAAATGTATTCTTCTCCTTGGTGTCCCTGAAGAACCCTTTGCTTCAGGGATTTAAGATGGGGTGGGTGTTGACCAGTGCAAACTGCCAAAGTGCACTGAAATTGTTTTCTAGAGCTTCATTGAAAGCATAATGGAATGCGTCGGTTCCAGAGGGGATGATGGTGGGCGTATCAGGATAGGTTTTATCAAGGTATCGCACAATCTCGGCTGAGTCAGATATGACAGCTCCGGTTGACGCGTCGTGGAGGACAGGGAGAGTGTAATAGGGTGTTACACCATCGGGCTTAGTAATGTGGCTTTTCACCCTGATTTTCCCGTAGAGCGGTTCGATGTCAGGGTATTCGACCCATTCTGTTTGATAGGGTAAGCCCTTGTAATTGAGAACGTATCTGTGATAGATACATGTAAATAGGCATCTCTCATAGTAATAGACATGTGCATACCTGGCTTTCCAGACACTAGGGGACCAGGCTTTGCCCGAGGCAATCGAGGGTATATCGTATAAAGTTGTAGGTGTGGACATACTGAACACTGAGAATCAAGAATCACTCCTGCCAGTATATAAGGCTTCAATGGGGTCGGCCCCTGAGCACTTGAGCCTCTTGGGGGTTGTCATGTGAGTGGGGTGATTGATAATTACTTGATGAACTCCATCGGATTCCCGTCGGTGACCAGTGAAGCTTGAAGCTTGAAGGCTTACATGTAACATTACTATTTTTCTGACACATCCTGAACACATGATGGCTGTTTCGCATTATTCGAAGCTCCAATAGACAGTTTCAGCTTGATGCAGCCCCGAGCCTCAAAAATGCCGGAAGTTGCCGGAAGAAGAAAATAGAAGTCGAATATAGTAGACTCATGGCTTCCAGGGCTATTTTTTTACACCCAAGCGGTGACAGTTGGCGGAGAACATGGTGCCTTCTGATGCTCATTAGAGGTCAAGTATCAACAGAGGTATCAAATTGAGAGTATGCGCACCCCAAACTGAATCCAGGGTTGAATTGGCATTAATGATATCGAAGTAGTATTCACCGGTTGCGTCAGGGTTTATGAATCATGATATTAGTGATCAAAGCGTGGCAAGTCCTGCAAGTCCCAATTTGGCAATGGACGCCAAACATTTTAGGCCGAGCCGTCACACTGCCACCGTAATCTATCTACAATTCGGGATTCAATTACAGCCGTATCCAGAGAAAGGGTTAATGGCTCATTTCAGTTATCAGGAGGTGTGCGTTCAATCCAAGGATCGAGCTCTTTCTTCCTCTGCCAGGGTTCGGCCCTTGTGGTCGACAGAAATTCCAGAAGATAATAACCAAGAATATATTAAAGAATATTATTATTAACTGACAGAAATTAGAAATCAGCGGCCTTAGTAAGTGCCTCCAGAAATCTATGCTTAAAGTCAGTAGAGCGTCGACACCAAGGAAGAAATCGATACATACAGTAGCATCGTCACTATCAACTGTTCCTGCTGATCCGCCGGTGATCTTCAATTTGGAAAAGTCCCAAGTTCTGCAGACGGATGGATCAGAATACATTCCGTTGCTGTATGAACACGAATGCTTACCCGGAGCAGGCTCCGCAGTCAACGGCCAGGCGCTTGGCGTCATCTCCGACCCTAGCAAACAGTGACGTTAGCACGGTAAGGAATCAATTGAGGGGGCACATGCTCACGTAATAGTGGTGGTGCTTCCAGTGAAGTTCACGTCCCTGCCAGACTATATCAAAAGCTGTACTCATCGCCCAGGCATGGATTTGACTCACGAGATGGGACCACCAGTTCCTGGGGTACCCTCATCATCAGGGTAGGACTGGGTGATCAAGACACCGTACTCTTCGATGCCGCTGAGGGTGTTTCTGTACAAAAAAGCATAAGAGAGAGCCTGACGAATTGAAATTAAGTAGTACTCACCCAGAGTACGTGATGGCGGACACTGACGCGTCAGTGGCTGTGGCTTTGACCTTGATTCTAAAGTGCTGATTCAGAAGAGTGGCACAGCAATAGAGCCCAGGAAATCTTACCTGAATCCGTACATCGAATCCGTAACGGTGTTGCCAGAGATGGTAACATCGGTGACGGACTTGTCACTAGAGATAGAACCGATCGAAATTCCATGACCACCAGAGCACTTGTTGTTCTTAAAGCTAACGAACACACCGGGTAAGGACGTGCTGTCACAAGTGAATGATACGTACATGATGCTTGAGCCATCGTTGATAGCAATGCAATCATCCTGGTTCTTTACGACAGAGTTTTGAATAGTCACGTCGTCAGCGGAGACATCGAAACCCTGCAGGCTATCAGCGTTTCGCGACGAGGTCATAGTGACTTGTACTCACATCGGTGTTGTGACCAAGATCATCGGTATCACCATCACTGTTGTCGACCTAGAAAGCACGTCTGAGGCCAATAACGCGCGAGCCAGAGAAGTCAAACATACGGTGATGCTGTCAAAGACGAGGCCGTCACTGTTGCCTATAGAGATAGCCTGGGCGGGGCTGTTCAAAACCTGTCGTTTACGTTCAGCGTCATGCAGCAGAAGAGAGAAATGGTAGCTCACCGTAAAGTCGGAGTAGGTACCGGAGCCCTTGAACCTAGGCGCGCTGTCAGGCACTCGAATGCCATGGCGAAGACGAAAGGGACCTACTTCAAGAACGGATGAGGCTTGTCGACACCACCGTTCGTGCCTTCACCATCCCAGTATTCGGCACCATTTCCCTATTGAAGACATTTAAACCTTGAAGCGGGAAAACCATGAAATGCTGCTCACGTCGAATGAGTATCCCGCGCCATTGAATGTGACGTCATCACCGTCGATGGTGAACAATGGTCCATCGCCTAGGAGGACATCGACGGTCGGATTTCAGTCAAACGCCTATGAGAAGTACGCACTAGATGTCTTGGCAAAGGTGATGTCACCAGCCATGGTGATAGTTGCACCTGATTTGGGCTAATGGCATGCATGAGTTATACTTCTCAGACCGACGCAAGTTCAAAAGCAACGTACAGAGAGCGTCAAGGTGCCTGGAGATTGCCGTAAGCAAGAAAGGAAGCGTAATAAAGGAACTATCCTGGACTTACTTCCGCTGGGAACAGTGAACGCCGAGATGGTGACCGACGAGCAGCTCGAGATGTCCGAGGCAGTCGAGACAGAAGAGATTGTGCAGCTTGCACGCTCTTCAAGTTCTCCAGTCGGGATGGCCGACACCAGTGCGAGCACCGCGGCGGTGAAGACGAATTGGCGGAAAGCGTGTTGGAACATGATGACCAGGATGCAGGATATGAAAGCAAACGAGAGATGCTGCTGAGTCTCCAACCTCTACATATCCTGGTTTTTATACCGTTCGAGAGACTGTGCTGGAAGATTCACGGAGGTGAATGCCTAAAAATAAACTTCTGCAAAGAAAGCATGGACGATTTGCATATCGAAACAGGGCTTGGCAAAATATCGCGTGGGACGTTTTCATTCTACCATAACGACACGGTCCGGCCGGTCCCCTTTGATCCAATAGGTATCGTCCGAAAGCAATCCGAAAGTCCGAGTAACAAGGTCTCCGTCCGAAAGTATAGGCGTCTAGGTTCACCTTTGACTCGTACGCGTGGGGTTGAGGTAGATTTCAATGCGCTCTGTATTGAACAAACGGTCGTAAGAACGCACACAACTTTTGCAGCTTCGTATCAAATTACGTACCAAAGCTCTCTGCGGCGCCCTTGATGTAAGCACCATGACTTTGTATCCGAAGCCAGTCTGTTCGTCCTCAGAGCCCCAGGATCACCCAGACCATCTTCCGCCTAAGCGGCGCGGTCTAATTTTCCGAAATCTGGATACAAAAAGCCCCGCTTTTTGCAACATTAGTGCAATAGCATACGACCCACATGTTCCTGAAGAACACGATTGCTCCTGGATGGGAGCTATTTTAGTATACGCAAAATGTGGAAATGCAAGAAAAACCGATGGAATGTAGCCCAGACCAAACGGATAGAAAAACTGGATCAATCAGTCCGCCTTTTGACTGCGCAAAATGATCACCTGGTGAGAAGAGTCGGGGAAATATGTCAGAGGGTTAACGAACAACTTTGACGCGCCATTCCGAAAGCTCAACGAGCTCAACTGAATCTCCTTGAGGAAATAAATTCGGCACCAGAAGTTGAGATGACGGTGTTTACGATATTAACTGAGTGTCGCTATGCTACGTATTTTGCCGATGCGCGACGGCGTTATCGAGCAACGGTTCAAGGTGGCTGTATCACAAACACTTATAAATCAACAGTGGTGTATTTAAATAAGGCAACGCGCACTGGAGTCTTTTCTTGATATCAGAACCTCGCAGAATCTTTTAACCAGAGGCTGTAAAGGGCGCTCGGCCCTCATGTATAGTAAACACCAGTAGAAAGTCGTCGAATCGTCTAGTTATAGATGCTCTCAGGCCTGTTGGAGTCGAGGCTGCATGCGTCATTCGAGAAGGCAATCGGGCATCCTTTTCTCTGACATAGCACAAATGTGGGCGGTGGCGAAATGTCGGTAACCATACACTAACATTTACGAGAGCATGCTACAGCAGAGTCAGCTGAGCGAGTTCACTGGAGGTAAAGAGGCATTACGCACCGTGCATGATGGCTCAATATCTCTAATAAAAGAGAGTTCCTTAGTGGAAATTCTTAAGCACTGACGGTGTTCAATATGGCTACAAGTCAATTCATGCATAAATGAGAATCAGATACAAAGTGATAGTTGTGACAATGAGTATAATCTGAGAAAAGAGACGTATTAGAAGCTAGTTGATAACCACGAAGCCTCCACTTACCAAGAAAACGTAAATCCAACATCTATCCACCCTTGTTCAAACTCAGGGTAGTTCTCAATAAATCGTGACACTCTCCGACGACTCTCTTCAATGAACCAGCGCGGAATCCACTGCTCTGATGGCAGGTTTACTCGCACTTGATATTGGTCCTTAGCCAAATCCAGCAGCTCGTCCAAGTCCGACACATCGATCGGCTCTTTCTCCTGCATATACTCCTTCTCCGAGTCGAAGTGATCTTCCCACCCACGAAGCTTCATCAACATCAAGCACATGAAGGGCATGACAGGCAAATCTCGGTAACGCTGAACATACGTTATCCGACTAGAGGGCACGAACGGAATTTGAAGGTCTGTCGAGTTCCCAGGTGTAAGGATGTCCACTTTACAGGAGCGTGTCCTTCGGCCTTTGGCATTAGTCCGGAGTGCGTACCATAACACCCGATACGTCGCCTGAGGATTAACGGACCGCTTGAGGTAGAACCTGTTGTCCGCCTCAACGAGGAGGTCCTTGATGTCTTCGGCATGGACGTCGTTATCGAGGACAATGAGATCCACATCCTACACAGAAAGTCAAGCGGGGCAACGAAAAATAGTGCGAAACATGCATACATTGGGGTCTCTACCGCTCATGCCGAATATCGAACAAGCAGCACTTCCGAACAGACAGCATTCATACCCGCTATCTTGGAGAATCTTCACTGCTGCGCGGGCAGCTCGCCGGACTTCCAGAGAAGAGAGTGGGTCGGCTGGCATGGTGGTGGTAGCAGATAAAAGAACGTTTGCTGTACCATGGCCGTGACGGTGAGAAGAACGAAGATAGGGCGTGTTTGATATTCCCACGAATATATGTAATTCTTCTTGCACCGTGACCACTGCTTCGTCCCTCGCGACCATGGCATCCCTAGCGGCAATGGCAGAACCGCCTACTCGCCATGTTGATGGTGCAATGATGGACTACTTCATGATAGAGCTCGTCGATGCCGTTCGAGAATCTTCAGCCGTCGCGACGGCTCGCGCAAAGAAGGTCGAGCAAGAGATGGTCGAGTCTGGACTACTACCTCCACCAGCACCACCGGTACCAGCACTACCCCTCAAGGATAACCCTAGGGACTCGTTAACTAGCATTGCTTCGCGAAATAGTGCCACCGCCAAAGCGAACCCAGCAACCGAGGCAGAGGAGGCAGTACGGATGCGTTTGGAGGCCATTGGAATCCATGTCGGTGCCAATTTTACAGAGAGGTGCGTGTCACGCTCTAGCAGAAGCCTATCTGTGCTGAATCTTATCATAGACTTTGCTTGGAAAAATTGCTTTTCTCCGAAACACTCGACGCTGTCAAGTTTATCTGCAAGGACATCTGGACCGCCTGCTGGGATAAGCAAGTTGATAATCTACGGACAAATCACAGGGTATTGATTCTCTTTTCATTGGCATTATGTTGCTGATGCTTCCTTAGGGTGTTTACGTGCTTCAGGATAATTCCTTCAAATCAATCTCTCGCCTTTCTTCTTGGAAGGGCCGAGAAGACGCCTTACAGCAAGCCAAGATGGTGACCTGATTCTCTTCCAGAATCACACTATACTCATTGATGACTTTTTGTAGTACGTCGCTCTACCAGCTGGTATCATCAAGGGCGCCCTCTCAAGGTTGGGATACAATGGTACCGTTGCTCCCGAAGTTACATCCCTTCCACAATGCATGTTCTGTATATCATGAACGTACATATTCTTGGCTGATCGTTTGGATCAGGTACCTTCCAAGTCAAGCTTCCAAAGTCGTAAAATGAAGAATTGCGCTATGTGGCGGGTGTAGTGAGTATATCCTGATCTAATAGTGCTATTCCTAGGAATCTGACTCAGGAATTAGGAACTACGTGATACATTCATGCAGCAGGTAGCCATGAAGACTCCTGTGGCCGATGGGACCAAGTCGAGGCTTCTTTTGGGGCACTACGCTGCCAACGGGCTGCGTCGCAACAGAAATTACGTTTCTGAATACAGGTATAATACCATGATGTTGTTTTGAATGAGTCGTTCTGCAATCGATATGCGTCTTCCGCTCGCCTATACAGAAGTAACGTCTACTCCGTTCCACGACCGAGTCCAGGTCAAGCCAGCAAACGACGCCAGAAACCTGAGGTAATGTTGTCTTTCGGCATCCGAGCATCGGTCACGTTTGACGATGTCTGATACCTTGACCAACGGACTGTCTGCACACGACTGATATCTACATATCCCTTAACTCGATCTCAGATGTGACTGCACCGTTTTCGCTGAAAGACGAATCACCGACATAGTTCGACCTTGGGGGGGCTTTAGGCATCACAATGAGCTGCCTCCCTCAATTCAGTATGTCCATCGTCTTCCAATGATATTTCAAAAGGTTTGACGTTGGAGATCAGGAAGAAATGACTCGAGCATGCTCGCACGCTGGAGATTGTTGAACCTTCTGTGCTGGTGTGAGTACTACAGCAATAGGAGACTTGTTTCTCCTCGGTAGACCTAGGACCAATAGCATAGATGAACGGGAACGAGAAATGCGGGGTATGGTTTACTACACGCTGTAGGAGCAAGTTGACAGCAGTTTACTTTCCCGCACTGGCTGTTTTGACGAGGCATGCTCAAAGCTAGCATTGGCGGCATTCTTTATCAAGCGTAGAAGACGAGACTCCGTATTACGACGAAGCCTCCGGAGAACAGAGTATCGCCTGTCTACTCGCTAAAAATGGTACGCCATCGCGCTTGCCAAAGAGGATCGTTGACATTTCATCACCGGCTCCAAGCCCCACGAGAATTTGATTATCGATTATGGATCGTCTCTCGAGCGGCCGTTTGACCAGCAGCATAATCTATCCAGACCTACAATGTCCATACCTCTTCCCTGTACGACCCAAAGATTAGTCGTCCAATGTGCCGTAATGCTGGAAAGCTAGCAGCGTTGTGAAAACGTATTTACTTTCCCTTTCTCCTTGGAAAGCAAAGAAAATTGACGCGTCTCTAGACACGACCTTCACCGTTTGATCTAGCGAGCGATCAGTCAGATGTATAAGATTCGTTGACGAGAGAAGGTGCATGTCCCACTGGGACTTTTTGGGCTCTGGGTTTGAATTTCTGCAACCATTTGCAGTACCTCTCCTCGCGTACCGAGCGTGTCGCCTCATGCAGGTCATTATTTACCGATACAAGTTCCGTAAGTATATATAAAGTGGCTTGCAACTTGCAGCTAGATGCCCCAGTCACCTAGCACGTTTTCCCGGCGCTGGACCATCATGCATCAGTCAGCACTAGTCAGCCCGCAAATATGTTATTACCAGAACGTCAGATAGCGGGAGAGTCTCTGAGTATATATACTGATCCCTCAGTTCAGGTCAATCACCCAAGATGTCCACCTCCCGCATCTTGTACGACATCCCCTCGACTGTCTCCAACAAAGCTTGGTCGCCCAACGTCTGGAAAGCCAGGTCAGTTCATATCTCTGCATCATACCTAGTACATACCGCTCACTATATTGTATTCAGATACGTGCTCAACTATAAAGGCCTTCCATACCGCACCGAATGGGTTGATTCCCCCACATCGAAGCCCTGTACAAAAAACTCAGCGCCCACGCCAGTGCTATCAAAGCTGATGGCGTAGCACCCCATTACACTCTCCCCCTTTTGCACGATCATTCCACTGGTGCCTCCGTCTCCGAATCAGCGGCCATCGCCCGGTACCTGGACAAAACCTACCCCGAAACACCCGTTGTCATCCCTGCAGGCACCAACGCGTTTCACTACGCCTTTAACGAAGCGATATGATCCCACTTTCGAGTTGGCGCTTTCCGGAAGTTCACCCGGATCAAGACTGACTTCATTTTGAATCCTGTCAGTGAGGAGTACTTCAGGAGGACAAGGGAGGCTAACACGCTTGGGGGTAAGAAATTGGAGGATACCATCCTGAAGGGTGAGGAGAGGGTGAGGGAGTGGGCAAAGTTGAAAACAGTTTTCGGAAAGATCGACGCATGGTATGGGAAGGGGGATATGTATGTTATGGAGGATATTGTGTCGTACGCGAATTTCATGATCAGCGCGTACCCCGTGTGGTTTCGTATCTTATATGGCGCGGACAGCGAGGAATGGGAGGATATCTTGACGAGGGACGAAGGCAGGTGGGGTGTGCTGGTGAAGGATTTCCAGAAGTATGAGACTGTTGTATAATCAGACCGATGGGAAGGAGCCCTTAAAGGTCGTAAGATAAATAATTGCGTAACGACGGCAGATATAGCCAGCTTCTCTTTTTTAACTAGTCACCAACACTCGTCCTGGCGTACTGGAGATAATCGTAAAGACTCCGCAACGTCTGTCAAATGACTGAAGAGATGAAATCAGGGAGCAGAGCATCTAAGGTCCCTTCAGACATCGAGAACAAGAAACGTACATGCGTGGGTGATAAGAATGATAATCCATCCCGTAACAAAAATCCGGTATTGTTGCACCCTGCATAAGTAGTACAATGAGGGTTTGCGGTTGGCCTGCAGCTCCGAATGTGTATTAACGACAATCGGATATTCACGCCGAATAAATATGTACGAAGGTTGTATATGAGGGGTAAACTATGCAGTGTATGATGGGATACAAACCTGTAATACGGTACATCACATGAACGTGGAGTAGTATGGTGTGGATACTCAATGCCTTCCTTCTGGAACTAGCGATCTGATATAAGTAAAATCAAACAGTATGAATGGAAAGAAATTGATCGTTCGCTAAAGTCCTCGTCGGGTAGGGGCGGCTACTTTCACTCTAACAAAAATCGAAGTCAAATCCAATCACAAACAAAGGGTTGTGCCCTTACCAACTGCGTATTGCCCGTCTTGGCATTTGACGTGTTCTTAAACACTACAACAGTCAATTCCGTAAGTCCCCCTTAAAAACCACATAACGACAGACTCACGAATCGAATCCAGGACTGCAGGTCCATTAATGTCAATACTTCCATCTATCCACATCGTGCATGGATCATTACGATGCATACCCTTCAGCAGAATAAGATTTAATAAAACACTGAGGCTGTAAATGCGTCCGAGTGTAACAAGGAAGGAATAGTGTACTATTCCATGACAATTAACAATGAAGGCTAAGCGGTGAAGCACACGCACCGTTCAAGACAACGAGAAGAAAGACAATCATGAGTGTTGATGAAATAGCTGTTAAGAAGCCGCAAGCCAAGGCCTGTATCATGACACGACGTAATATGCTATATTCATTATCAAAAACTGAAAGGAATTAGACTTATCGGGACTTAAAATGCTCACTTTCTTGTGGTTGCGTATGGTGACTCTATGTGCCAACATGCCCAAACTAGGGAGCTTGCGATAACTATGTCTGTTGCTGCACATATTACGGTGCTTGTATTAATGTTAGTGTATGGCAGGAACAAACTAAGAGTGTGCAAACTCACACCGCCAGCGGTAAGGCTAACAGCAGGTCCTTCGGATGGAGGGAAAAATAGATGGCAATGAACAGAGCGAAAAGCGTCTACATTCACCGTTTGCAAAACATATCTTGTGCAGGCTAAGGGAAGGGCTCACATTTACTGTAATGATAAACATAATGCATCCTGCAATCCATTTATTCCTAGAGCTAAGCAAACCTGAGGATGAGATCCAAGAGATCCGGGAGAGACCTACATCGTCCAATACCGATAACAGAAAAATGCCTGCGTAATCGAGGCAGAGGCGTACGTGAATAAGACTACAAACGGCATGGTCCATGCAGTTAGTTCGTATGGATCTAGATATCCCATATTGATCGAGTGGTGAGTGTGTAAAGGCGAAGTTATTACATGGGCGAACCTGCGTTATTAACCAGGAGCTGGAAGCCACATTAACGCGATATATATCAAGGGCACAAGAGGACGCACTTCGTAAGTGTAGACCAGAACCACGATCGAACAAGCCCCGTCGATGACCAACGATGCCAATATCCAGTAGCGCAACCACTTTGTCATCACGAAGCGATACAAGTAGTAGATACTCAAAGCGACCTGGGATGTGTACATCGAGGTATTCAACCACGAAATCGCTAGAACGACTCTTCATATTCCTGTCAAGTAGTCCCAATTCGAGCGCAAAGACCTAAGAGACACACCCTGAAGACACTTCATCAAAATGAAACAACTCCAACGTTTTCATAGCGTTAAGGAAGAGAATGTAAGTAATACTTCTCAAGCCTTAGATGGAAGAACGATTTTATACCTCGGAGATACACCTCCGGTCAGGCATTGCGTGCGAGGCTTTGATACCGGAAGGCCTTGTCAATGTTCCCAGGAAGAACGTAGCTCTCAAGAAAAGAATTCTAAGGTTGCGGTGATCACGAAAACACTGCCCCGTCGCGTCGCATATGATGTGGCTGGCTGCGACCCACCTCATGGCTAGGCACCAGTGTTAGTCCGTGGCATATGCACAGAATGTTAGCCGGCGGCCTCAGGCATTGGAGAACTTGGACGAGAAAGACTTCAGAAGGAAGGCATTGCATAACCGAAGACTAGTTGACGACGCTTGTAAATACGGGTCACTCCACTGGGTGGACGGTCGGGTTGTCCAAGGCAAAAAACTACCTTTGTCGGTGCGCAGTTCAGACGTGAGAAGGCAAGTAAGCATTGAGAGGTCCAAATATAGAACTGTACTTGTTTTTTTTGCACAGCCACATTGTTTTGGCATCTGCCGGCCATCGGACCGTGCAGTAAGGGCTCGAAGGCGAGGATATGCGTGTGAGTCGTTGTCCCGGGATATAAGTGCTGAAAGAAGTTACAGAAAGGTCTCATTTAAAAAAAAACTTGTAAGGTGTTATTTTTCCAATCTAAAATTCGCTGACCCTTTGCTGAGCATACAACCGCCCACTTCTTTTTGTGACAGGCAATTCATCGGTTTCTTGCATACGCATTGTCATTTATTGACGACATATGTTTTCACCCCAGCATTTTGAACTCCAGAATTCAAAAAAGCGCCATAAACTTGAGCACAAAATACCGTTGAGGTGTATTTGAATAGATATAAGTGCTTTCGTATATCTGGGCTAGTATGTTTGAAGCCAAATGTTTCACCTGTAGCGAGTAGCCCTCTCAATGTACGGAGCCATCTTGGCCAAAGAACTACCTACCTCGTTGCAGCTCTGAGAAAGGAGAATTAACAACTTGAAGTATCTAAGTAACTTCTTGGCACCAATTGATGATCAAATATCGATATCATCCACTGATACTGTCACAAGCCCATAACTATACTCAGTCTCTAACTGGTGGGACCAGTCTACCTGACTCGTAAAGAATCTGAATTAGTGGTGGTGTTACCGACGCGAGGTCCCAATAAGGAACGGCTAGGTCCACAGCCCTGACGCGGTAAGCCCAAAGGCTCGTACCGTTGTAATCACACTGTTGAGTGCGTCCTGTGGAGTACAGTAGAGACTCGTCGCAGAATACACAATCGAATGAAAATGGACATAGATGAATCTCCCAAATTGTGTTGCAGCTAATATTTAGGAGCGATACAAAGGCGCAGAATGAAACGCGAAAAAAAAAAACAACTCAGGTCATGAATATCATCAGTATCGGGATGAATGTGTATAATATCGAATACGAGGAAGCCGAGAAGGGAAGGGTGGCAAGAGCTAAAAGTTTCGAAAGAATTGTGAGCGCAAATGCTGCATGAGGTTCATCCTGAATCCCTAAGGGAGAATAGCAGCATAAACACTAACAACGAAAAACCAAGGGGAAGAGGGTCCACTACGCGAATGTGAGAAGACGTTAATAGAACCTCTCTATGCACGGATAGTTATAGTAAAAATTGCTTGGATCATGTGCTCGTGCTATAGCCTTTTTGGAACGGATTGCGCAGATCAAAGGCAGATGATAACACACGCATACGATCAAGTTCCCCGCAATCGAAGACCCCGAGACAGCATCAGGCGAGCAGGAAATCTCCTGCCCACCAAAAATACCCCTGCACTTCTGAAATCAGCTACCTGCTCGTAGATGCAAATACGATACCTTTGCGTGTTTGATTTCTTAATGAGAACCAAACGTGTGAATGCCGCAAATTTTACTTTGTGAAAACGCCCAAACCCACACCAAATGAAGGAAGACAGAGGAAGACGCGAATAAGATAGGTATAAATGGTTCGTTATGATCCCAGTGGGTATTAAGTTTTAGAGGAAGAACGCGAACACCACAGATGATACACCCATAGCCATCAGCGCTTGCCATGCCCGTGCATCAAGGCCCACAGCACCATTACCGGTCTTGGCAGTATTCGAGCTAGAACTGCTCGCGGATGCTTCCTCTGCGCTTGCACTGGTAGTATCAGAGGTCTCCAGCGTCGTTGCCTTCGTCGTAGTTTGAACCTTAGTCATAGTGGCAATTGCTGAGGACGCAGCGACACTGGCGGTAGTCGTCAGGCTAGAGGAGTTCGAGGAAAAGTTAGGAGCGGCAACGGCGAGGGAGGGATCGACAAGGGCGCCGACTCCCCAGGGGATAGCGGAACCGTCAGGCTGAAGAGAGTTTGCGGGCGAAGTGCTCGAACCGTCGGCGGCGGCAATGGTAAAGCGAGTGACCCAGGTCGTGTTGGGGGATGCAGGGGCTGTGAATTGATAGAAATAAATTGCCGAGTTTGGGGTCACCTGCCATCAGATAAGAATTAGAATTGAAAAGCGGGGAGTCGCCTATCCCATCGAGAACATAGAACTCACGTTTGGACACGTATAGTTGAATGTACCATCCACCGTTCCGTCTTGTCCTGTAGCGACCGCTAAATTACAAATGGCATAATTAATACGCAGCAGTTTTGATGACAGGGCGAAAATCTTACTTGTTATGTGCACCATGGCCGTGTTACTCCCGGACATCAACTCTATGGCCATGTCCTTCCACGCCGTTGACGATTTGTCTCCGGTCCACGTTATAACGCAGGAAGCCCCCTCGTCATACGAGTCGCCTGGTCCCGGAACGGTAGGAACAACGTCGGCATAGACGCCAATAATGGCGGAGACAGCAGCGATGGCGAACAATTTCGAAAGCATTGCAGAAGAATTTACGGTCGTGTCTAAAATAGAATGACACTGAGGAATGGATAGGAAGAGGAAGGAATATGCTCACTTACACCGGCTGTAAAAGGTTTAAAAGGAAAAAAGAGCGATCTTTGTGGGAGTAAAAAGAATGTGGTGGAACCGGTGCAGCTAGACAGTGGAGGGTGGAGGGAAAAACAGGAGTAGATGCTTACCAGTCCATGCGGAATCACGGTAACGCGTGACCAAAACATAACCCTTTCATGAACCCGAGATACCCGGGTGCCTGGATGCAAGTCTGACTGTCAGGTTGCTGTGAGGCAAAAACATATTCATTTCACCACTGGGCGATATAGTTTGATATCGTATGCTTGGGATATAACTGGTTACCAGGTCTCTTTTTGGCTCGATATAAAATATCTTCCGTTAGTACGCATCACATTGAAACCGAAAGATTTGGATGGATATCACTGCGATTTACAAGACAACCGGCATCGCTGCGAGAAAATAACTGCTCTCGTCATTTGAATGGCAAGCGAAGCAGCCTTTGCACTAGATAGTCAACAGAGCATTAGGACATATAATACTAGTCCATAACTAAGCAACCTGAGACGTTCTTCGAAGTTCACTCTGACCAGAGCACTGCTTGATACCAGGAATGAGACGTGGCGTTGTGAATCGCTGCGGAGAATCCACAATACTCAAACCGATTGTGGATCCATGGTCATCGATCAGAGAGACCTTTGCAGTCCGTTTCACTGGCTTGGAATGAAACCGAAAGGCCGAATTCTGAAGCTAACTGAGTGTTCCGGATTGAATATTTGCATCAATGGATGGAATACAAAACGGCAAGGATACTCCCCCTATAGCCTCAGACTGCCAACCATCATGATAAAATTCTAGGGCATCCTAGCACTGAGCCTTGAGGACAAGAATTCAAGTCCGGTTCTCAGTGTAAGTGGTAATGTTAGAGGGTGTGTATTTCGTGTCAGCTTCGAAAATTCTTGTGCACGTTTCAACAGACTAGAAGCGACTTTGGAAGTAGCAGAGAGTCTAGCGCAGCAATTGGCGATCGCGAGAAGAACCGGTGGTATTATTCGAAGTAATATACAGACGGACACAGAGACGCAAGAGAGCCTAGCAAAGGATTATCAGAGAGTGGTACTGCCCCAATTCAATCTTGGAGATTGAGTATGGTGTACCCCCTTCAGAGAGGCTGCCAACCGAGTCGACGCTCAAGTTGATTATGAAAGAGAATCCTTGGGAAGATTCCGACCGGCAATCGTCGGAACAGCGGTCCGAAACGTCCCGCGTCCTTCTTTGATTTGACCGTTTGGCAGTGTTGACTTGCGACATACACGAAACGCCAGCGTCGTCCTTGAACTTCTTTCATTTTGATCTACATTTTGCTATGTATAGTCCATGCGGCGGCCACACTGTTCCCTAGGTGTCTCAACGGCATTTGGATACAGTAAAGTGCTGAGGTTACGCCACTTCTGGGGCTTTTTCTAGGACCAAAAGGGGTTTTCTGAAATACCGCATCGCGTTTGCTTGCCCCTTGTGTTCCGCAAAAAATGAGATGTGGAAAACTCGTTTTATTTAGCTCCCCCGTCGCGTGCCTAAAAAGCTGTTTGTCTGGCAATAAAAAGCGATCTCCTTCATTCTGACCTCAGGCTTTCCGTTTTTCGGACGATTTGTCTTACGCAAAAAGTGCGCAAAAACTCTCATCTTTGAGCTTATTTTCTGACCTCTTTTTTACGATTAGAAGTTCGAAATGAAATGTCAGCATTCTGAGGTCTCATCTTTGCGATGGGAAAACGTGCCGCCCCAGAATTAATGTTTGAGGAGGCATTGCGATTCTAGACCTTTTCACTGTCATCGCTTAGATGAAAACATGCTTTCGGATAATAGCGAACAGGGGAGTGTGCTGTTAGGTGAGTAGTAAACGTTGTCCGCGTTAACCTTGGTGCTCAGTATTACAATGTCAACAGTGTCGGCCCCGACCGGGACCTGGTTTATGGAGTGCGAAACTGCACTGACGTGGTTCTACACGTGCAGTCAGCGACATGATCAAGACATACCCCTACAAACCAATGCTCGCGCTGACGGCGTGCTGAAGATGTTTTATCTATTTTAAGGTTGACAGTCGGCTGTTATCGAGCACTATTATCCGCCGCAGTGGTCATTTTGAGAGGATGCGGAAAAACGGAGAAATAGTTATGCACCCTGCATGGTTTGTCGTTTAACGCATGAGTCGCCGGTGGATTTCTTATCTTTGCGGAGTAGGTCTCCTGGAGAGAATCCACATGGCCACGTTTTATACAAGCGCCGGCTAGTTGGGACCGGGCAACGAGGCCAAACGCTATCATCCTCGTGTTCAAGCGGAGCGAAAACAACGAGGCACCAGCCCTAATATCCTCCTAACTTCGACTCACACCAGGGTATCTTTCTTTCCACTACGTTCTCTCAGCAAAACTCATTCGAACTGCAGTCTCTATGCTACTGTTTCCGATATCCGATATTAAAGTAGTCGTTTGTGGAATGGCTACAATTGCGGCCTCTGTAGGATATGCCTGCACTCGGAGGTTTTCAGTTCAGTACGTTATACTTTCAATGCAGCAAGCTACTGCTCATGAGGTTCATAGGACGCCGATTATGGATCGCGACAGCGTACCTGACTCGGGGCAAGTTGAGAAGTCAGTCGAAGAAACCCCGACGGATGCGAATAGCGATGATTCCGCTCGGCGAACCTCTTTGAAGCGTAAACAAATGCATGATCACGATGAGAACAACAATGTGTGTCTCTACTGGCCGATTATTTTCTCTGTTTTATCAACTTTTCGCTAGGACCTCGAATATCCGCATGTAAGGTAGCTCCCGCGGACGATAAGGTCGCAACTCTAAAAGCACATCCCCAGAACCTATCAGCTATTTACCCCAATAAGCGGAACAGGACTCCGCCTATTTCTGATGCGGATGACGAGGTAAGCATGTTTTCATGACCGTTTCATGTTTCCCCGCTTAAACTGCTTATAGCCGGGTCAGGGGGTGTCTGTGGATCCTGATAACCAACATCTTGGTATGGCATCTACCGCTGTCGATACCTTGAACAAGGATACGGCCCCGGAAGCATCCGACAACCCGAAAGAATCTCCTCGCATCGAAGAAGCAACGACTACTGAGACTAGCCCTGGGCCTACAGAGGTTCTCACCACTGACAAGGCTCCCCTTGATGTTGTTGAGGATACCCCGACTGTCGCATTAAAGACTGAAGCTACGAAGCCAGTCCTCCCGCAGCCTAAGCCCAAGCCTAGGTGCAGCGTACGTTGATCATATTCTTGACTAATATTTGCGGATAGACTAACTGTCTATTCTTGCAGCCTATCAAATCCTCAGGCGGATTCGCATCGTATTCCGGGACGGCCTCGCCTTTCAAGACTATCAAAGCAGGTTCTAGTACGACGACGCCAGTATGGTCTCATAAAAATGTCAGTTCGACGACAGATCGCGTAACGATCGACCGGCCTTTGGCCGCCCCTACTGAGGCACCTCGAGAGTCGACCGTACCTCGTATGTAGCTTCTTCTCTAGATTAATGTCCGAGGTTGATGCTGGGTATAGATCTCACCGGAGAAGAAGATGAAGAAGTAGCGACCGATATTAAGGGCGTGAGGCTATACATCAAGCGAGGGGAGAGAGATTTTACTTCTGGCATGCTGGGTCATGTCAAGTTGCTCTCGAATAAGACATCCCAAAACCAGAGACTGCGTAAATTTGCTTGACATCTCTCCCGCTCTATAGTCTTGACTGACGGTGAGTCTAGTCCTGCGCCGCGACCCATTGTGGCAGGTAACGATGAATGTCCGCCTCACCCCCGCCGTCAAATGTATCTTCGATGAAGAAGACCTTTCCCTTCGTGTTATCCTGGCTGAAGCCATTGAACGAGAAGACGTTCCAGTAGAGCAATGGACTCGCGAGGTCGTCGTTTATGCGCTCAAGGTATGCTGCATAGCCTCCTTGCCGTTATTTAGCCCGACTGACACATCGGGATTAACAGCCAGGAAGGTCTTGTTCGAAACAAGACTTCCGAGAATTTGCCGTCTCGCTGCTGGCCAGCACTAGTTTGAAAAGATAGATCCTCGATTATTGTATGCGGATGCTTTCGGCCGCAGTCCTATTCATAATGACGACCTCGATTTTTTTACGACTCTCGCGTGGCTTTGAGCTTCTCTCGCGTTCTGTTTAATCCTCCGTGCTTGACGCACATGGCTGACGACGTTCTTGATGTTCTCGCGCAGCTCGATAATGGGCTGATTCTCAGGCACCTCCTTATCAACTATAGTTTTCTCACGCGAGTCGCTTTCGCGCCCCGCCGCGCTGCGTCCATAGAAACTCAAAGCGTCCCTGGACTCAACCAAGGCCGAAGTTCAATGCCTTTTGGAGCTCTACCACACAGAAGTGACGACGGACACCGAGAGGTACACGAGTAAAGGGCTGTGCAGCACGTTTCAATCGGACTCCAACACCGTGCTTGCCACGACGATCAATGACGCGTTCGGATTTCAAACCCATCAAAAATTTGATTATCGCATAGCATAAATATAGCCAAACGATTGGATTTTATGGGTCCCAAGGTATAAAAAGGTGCTGTTACCCAGACCGGCTTTTGTCCCCGAGCACGACTTCTTTGCACACGTCAACCTCACCATGAAGTTCAGCGCGATCGTCACCATTTTTGCTGCTGCCTTCATCGCTGTTGCTGGGGCTGCCCCCGTTAAGGACACCAATGCCCGTCGTATGGCTGCGGGTCTTCCCCCTCTCCCCCCAGTTCGTCGGGGTAGTGGTACTAATGTGGCTGCTCGTGAGTAGTGCCCCCCTTCCACCTTGGAGTGCATTTCGTCTGATATTTTCTTCATAGGCGGACATCCTTCAGAAATTCCAAGGGCTTTTGACGCTTGATGACTTCAGTTAAACTGGTCATGGTGAGTCAGATTTCATGTCTTTTATAAAATTTCTCCTGACATTCTACGCCCCCAATTAGACGCCATCGACTGACTCGCATCCTTATCGTCTATAGACAGTTCCCGGACTATGATTTAGAGTCGCACTGCGGACTATGATTTATCTATCCCCCTTCCACTTGATTGTTTACGAAGTCCTTACCCATCCTACTCCCGCTCCATCCCAGACTTAAGTTATCATTAGCTTTAGTTATTGTATTGACCTTGCATGAGAATATCTCTTTGAACTACTATATTGGGGAACTCTAGAACTTTTTCGTACATCGGCCGTTGTCTTCCTGTCTACTCCAAGATTCAGGGTTTTCAATTGCACTCTACTCCCACCCACAAATTGGGGGTGTTGAAGTGACATATCGCAATTGGAGGGGCTGGCCAATACACAAATAGTGGTGCCATTGGCAATGGTGGAGTTGATAGCGCAGAGTTAGTATGATGGGGGATCCCGCTCCCAGATATGACCAGAAAAGTTAACATGAACGTGTCATAGCACGGGCATTTAGACCGAAGATAAGAAGCGCGCTTATCTCTTCCAAGGGTCCTAGGTAAATTTTTCTGAAACAAACCCTCGCGGGATTTGTTACCTGCCTAATCAAGATTCAAGACGGTAAAAAAGAAAGGACCTGATGGATTCGAAGCTATAGCTATTCGAGTACTTGGCGTAATTCCAAGAATAACTCAGTCTACTGACACTAAAGTCTGTCCCGCTGTCTCTTATCAGCAATAATAATATTGACAGCTTAGCGCTTATCCTACACATATTCCACGAATAACTAGAGCTCGTCGACGGGACGTGGCTCGCTCGGAGTATCCAGAACGACTTGCTCCGTCTCTGCCTCAACGATAACCTCAGGCGCAGGCTCTGGTGACGAAGCTTCGTCCACAGCTTCAGGCGACTCAGTCTTCTCCGAAGGCTCCTCAACAACCTCTACTACTGTTTGCTCCGGAGCAGGCTCCTCCGGCTCCGAAGTCGAACTCTCCTCAACAACCTCAAACTCAGGCTCTACTTCTTCTGGCGTAAGTTCAGGTTCTGACGCCGTCGCGGGACTATCGATCACGATTTCATCGGCATCTTCCGACGTATCTTCCTTGACAGCGGGCTCTTCAGGAATACTCAAGTCGGCGGTACCGTCCACAATGGTATCGAAGTACTTGGTGAGTGGTTCTAGTTTCATTTTGCCTGGGAGATCGTGCGTCAGCCCGGAGCTGATAACATGGCATAAAAGGACTATTGGACGCACCTTCGTAACGAACTGCTTTTGTTGCACCTTGAGAGTAAATGAGCACTATGGACCTCTCTTCTATGTCCTCGTATCCCAAGGCCTTTGAACCTTTGCCCTTGCGATTCCGGTGAGATGCGAAGTCGATATTGTCAGTGAACTTGTTTGCAAGGACCTTCCAAAGGAGCGGGACTTTCTTTTCTTTCGTCAGCAGTAACGCTCGAGGTTTCGGAGATGAGGCAGACTGAACAGACATCAGACCTGGCTGTTTTTGAAAATTGTGGGTTTTCGCACCGTCTCAATCCAGGATTGTAACTCTTCTACGTTATAGAGTTTCTTCATGGGGGAGGGTACTCTCGAAGAAGCCCAGTAGAAGAGGGCACTAGCCGTACGTTCACCAGACCCATAGGTCATGGGTGGGATTTGGTTTCCTCGAGGGAAGAGCTATATGACCATTTAATAGGTGCCTTTGTACAGTGAGAACTGGCATCACCTTGACTGTAGGGAAACCTTGTACTCCCTATATCAATGATCAGTAAACGTTTAGTCTTCCAATGCTGGGCACATACTTGTTCCGCGCACAACCGCTTGTTCTTCTCATCATCACAATCAACAGCATATACTGGAACCAAAGGATGAAATGCTTGAGCAGCCTTGCTGTACTCTGGCGCCAACCGTTGACAGTGCTGTGCTCATTGTCCAGCTACCTCGTTCAATACCATCGAAGGGCCCACTCACCCCACACCAGGGCGCGACAAATGCTACCATACTCGTTTCCTAGAGCACGTTCAGAATCTCTGTATTTAGTAGATCGATGTCGACGCACATTAGCCTTCATTGCCTTCTTGAAACTCTTCGCGTCCAACATCTTCACAAGAGTACCAGAAGGAAATATAGCCGCCGTCACCAGCGAAGGAATTAGAGAAAAGGTCAACGCAAGTAGCGGAGTCGTCAGCATTGCAGGAAGTGGGTATAGTCAAAAAGCAAGAGACGTTTTAATTTAGTTTTGTAGCAACCCAGACTGACGTGGAGGTATGGTCACGTGCACCGCACCGGAGTCGGTCAAGTCTTGGCGACTTCTCGGTCCGTTGGTGCACACACGCCATTCCATTGCATCGGGAGTCGGTTCCTTGGAACCAAAGGCTCGTATCGCAATGATTGCTGGAGGATAGTTCTGAAGCGCAGCAACAGAAATGGGAATTGTCACAGCACATGATGTGACTGTTACTTTTAGCGCCGGAAGACTTCGGTCCGACCTTTCCTTTACCATATACCGTTACTCAAATTTTGCTCACCTCGGAAAGAAAGACGCATCGCGTCCTAACTCATCCCGAGCAGAATCAACAAAATCTACTTGACCAGAAAACTCTAACTGAAACTGTCTTCCCAGTTGTTTTCCGTTCACTAATCTTGGGCATTAAATAGTAATGCAGGCTCAACTTGAATGGCGATGCAGATATCCTCACACAGAAATACAAAAACCTTCTGTGTTCATCAGTTTTAGATGCGTATCTAGACTGTGGCAACATTTTGAAGTCGGCTGTGCACGTACCATCAAGCCCCCGACCTTCTAGTAAGTCCGGCTTCTGTCCGAAGTATCGTGGTGAGCTGACGTTGGCCTGGTACTACATCTGCGCAGTAGCTAACTACAGAACCTCGTATCCTGCTGATATGCTGACATCTGGTAGATCTCCCCGATATTCGACGGAACCACTGTTTAATAGAAGTCTCAGAGAAGGAAACGTAATAGTATGCAGGCCTCTTTGTTTCGCCCGAATGCCTTTTGATGTGGTTCCAGGTGTTGGATGCTGCCGTGTGCCGTGTGATGTTGTAACATCGAAACTTGAAGATATGTGTATGGTATGTCATAGGTCGGTAGAATAGCCGAGCTTTACCGAATTGGCCAGTACATCTGAACTGCCTTCATAGTCAACTGCCCGAGAGATCTTTCGAAGGCCAGTATCATCGAATCTGGCAAAGTTGCCAAAATCAGCCATCCCAGCCTCAACGACGAGTCCTTCGTTCTCTCAGAGTACTCCTCAGTGTCTGGACTCAGGACAAAATTAGATCCGGAGTAAACCAGAGAGTACTCAAATGGGACTCGAATGCCTCGGCCTTCGTTGAAGTCGTGAACGCGTTAGCTTCTTTGCTCAAGGGGGTATACCCTTCGACGTCACTCGACAGCCAACTTCTTGTACGGTGTGTCGGTATGGGCATCCATTGCACTTTGTAAGGGTAGCCCTTGCATTCGAGAACGTGTCTAGGGCCGTCAGTAACTGGTACTGCATGAGGACGCGGCCACGAACTTGGCTTTACGGGCATTGCGACACGTCAGGCGACTAATCTTTGTATCGCGTAAATAATGTGGCTGTGTAAAAAAGGACAGCTTTATATTTGAACCGTTCAATGCTTACTTGCCGCCTAGCTTTCTCCCTTGAACAACCCGACTGTCCACCCAGTGGAGTGCCTCGGATTTACAGTCGTCGTCAACTACTCACTAGTCATTGGTTATGCAAGCCTGCTTTTTGAAGTCCTTCTCAGTGCCTCTTCCACACTTGGTGGTACTGGCTAACATTCTGCCCATGCTATCGGCGACCAACAGCAGTGCCTAACCGTAAGGTGGGTCGTAACTAGTCACATCATGGCATGTGACGCGTCGGGGCAGTGGTTCCCTCGATACGGTTTCCCTTCCTGATCACCGCAGCCTTAGAATTCTTTTCTTGTTTGGCTAGACTCTTCCTGGGAACATCGACAAGGTTTTCGAGTCTCAAACGCCCACACGTAATACCTGACCGGAGGTATATCTCCGATATATAAAATCGTTTTTCCATCTACGGCTCGAGAAGTACTACGACCTTCCACTTCCCCAACATTATGGAATCAGAGTTGCTTCATTTTGATGTATCTCCAGGGTGTGTCTCTTAGATCTTTGGGTTGGAATTTGGGTCGCTTGACAGGAATATGCAGAGTCCTTCTGGCGATTTCGTGGTTGAACACCTCGATGTATGCATCGCAGGTCGCTTTGAGTATCTACTACTTGTGTCGCTTCATGATGACAAAGTGGCTGCGCTACTGGATATTGGCATCGTTGGTCATCGACGGGGCTTGTTCGATCGTGGTTCTGGTCTACACTTACGAAGTGCGTCGTCTTGTGCCCTTGATATATATCGCGCTAATGTGGCTTCCAGCTCCTGGTTAATAACGCAGGTTCGCCCATGTCTGCACGGACCCACCCGTTTGTACTCTTGTTCACGTACGCCTCTGCCTCGATTACGCAGGCATTGTTCTGTTATCAGTATTGGACGATGTAGGTCTCTCCCGGATCTCATGCATCTCATCCTCAGGTTTGCTTAGCTCTAGGAATAAATGGATTGCAGGATGCATCATGTTTATCATTATAGTAAACGTGAGTCCTTCCCTTAGTCTGCAGAAAAAAACGTTTTCGCAACCTGTGAATGTAGATGCTTTTCACTCTATTCATTGCCATCTATACTTTGCTCCATCCGAAGGAACTGATGTTAGCCTTACCGCTGGCGGCGTGAGTTTGCACATAGTTTATTCCTGCCATACATTAACACTAGTACAAGCAACATAATATGTGCAGCAACAGACATAATTATCGCAAGCTGCTTGGCTTGGACATGTTGGCACATAGTCACCGTACGCAACCACAAGAAAGTGAGCGTTTTAACTCCCGATAAGCCTAATTCCTTTGAGATTTTGATAATGAATATAGCATATTACGTCGTGTCATGATACAGGCCTTAGCTTGCGGCTTCACAACAGCTATTTCAACAACACTCGTGATTATCTTTCTTCTCACAATCTTGAATGGTGTGTGTGCCTCACCGCTTAGCCTTCATTGTTAATTGTCGTGAAATAGCGCACTATTCCCTCTTCGTTACACTCGGACGTATTTACAGCCTCAGCGTTTTGTTAAATCTCATTGTGCTGAAGAGTATGCATCGTAACGATCCATGCACGATGTGGATAGATGGAAATCTTGGCGTTAGTGGACCTGCAGTTCTGGATTCGATTTGTGGGTTTGTCGCCGTGTGGTTTTCAGGAGAGACTAACGAGATTGACTGTTGTAGTGTTTAAGAACACGTCAAATGCCGAGACGGGCAATACGCAGTTACCGGTAAGGGCACAACCTGTTGTTTATGATTGAATTTGACTTGATTTTGTTAGCCTAGTGAAACTAGCCGTCACTACCCAATGCATCTTCAATTGAGGACTTTAGCGAATGATCAAATTTTTTTCATCCACACAGTTTGATGTTATTTATATTAGCTCACCGGTCAGAAAGGACCGCATTGAGTATCTACACCATACTACTGAACCACCATACGATGTTCAGTGTTCCACGCCCGTATCCCATCGTACACAGCATAGTTTACGCCTCACATAACTCCTACACACATAATTATTTGGCATAAATATCTGGCTGCCATTAATACACTTTCGGAGCCGCAGACCAACCGGAAACCCGTACCACTTATGAGGAGTGCGGGAATACCAGGTTTCCATGACAGGATGGATCTCTATCACAGCGCAAGTATGTTTCGAGTTCTCAATGCCTCTCGATACTTCTGCTGCCTGAGTTCATACATGAATTCTTTACTCATTCGACCACTTTGCGACAGTAGTCTACTTACGATGTGGAATTATCTTCATTGACCTTAGAGCCATGACTGACAAGAGCTAGCGCGCTATACTGTGCTAGGACTTGATGATCGTGAGGTAAGTCCTCGCTGACGGGATTCAAAATGAAGTCGGTCTTGATGAGAGCAAACTGCTAGAAAGCACTGAAGTGGGAGTGTAGTGCCTCGCTAAAGGCAGAGTGGAGCGCGAGTAAATTTTACAATACCGTATCAAAAAAAAACACCCTCCCCCCCTCGAAGAGGGGCTGGTAATAAACTGTAACTTACCCCCACTGGAGGTTTCGTGCGCAACCCTAACCCAAAGCTACCAAGAATCAAAAAAATTGCAAACATCCTACGCCTATTCAACTGCCCCAGAGAGGCTCGAACTCTCGACCTTCCGATCTCCGCACAGACACTGATACGTTGTACATATGAGTATCTGTGCGTAACAGTCGGACGCTGTAACCAACTCAGCCATGGGGCATGCAGAAGTCAGAGCGAAGGACATTGATTAATAATATTTTTTTGATATGCGACTGCAGACTTAGACGATGCTATGTGTCATATTAAAGGGTAACCGGCAAGCATTGTAGGCTGGATGGATTACACTGTTGATCAAAACGTTATTCGACATACTAATGCAATCCATAGTAATCAATAATCAACTTTGGTTGTAGTGACGAAATGCAGCCGGATTCGAATTTCGAGAGTGCGATGTTGTACCATTTCAAGCGAAGGCTGCATTGTCGAAAGGAAGTACTGTCTGTAATACAAGTTTTCATCAATTTCCTACACAGCAATACTAGTAATTACTTGTGGGTTTATGTACTTCTTCCTATCGGCCTGGTTACACGATAGTCTCATACTTCTCAAAATTCTTCACCAAAACACCCCACCTGCCTCCATGCCACGTCAAGACATCCTTCCACTCCTCGCTATCCGCGCCGTATACGATGCGGACCCATAAGACCCACGCAGCAACCGTGAAATCCGCGTACGAAAGAGTATCTCCCATCACGTACTTATCCTCCTTCCCATACCACGCATCAATCTTTCCGAAATCCGCCTTCAACTTCGCCCACTCCCTCTTCCTATCCTCACCCTTCGGGATTGCATCCTCCAGTTTCTTCCCTCCAAACACGTTCGCTTCCCTCGTCCTCCTGAAGTACTCCTCGCTTACAGGGTTCAAAATGAAGTTGGTCTGAATAAGGGCGAACTGCCAAAGAGCATCGAAATGGGACTCTAATGCCTCGTTAAAGGCGTAATGGAGCGCATCGGTGCCCGTGGGAATGACAGTGGATGTTTCGGGGTAGGTTTTGTCCAGGTATCGGGCGATGGCTGCTGAGTCAGAGACAAGGGCACCGGTAGAATGATCGTGGAGAAGAGGGAGTGTGTAGTGGGGCGTTACGCCGTCGGCCTTAGTAGCACTGGCGTGGGCGCCGAGCTTTTTGTACAGGCCTTCAATGTGAGGGTACTCAACCCATTCAGTGCGGTACGGGATGCCTTTATAGTTGAGCACGTATCTAGATGAAGTGGTGAGCGGTGCATTCGAATTATACATGAAGGAAACTGACCTAGCTTTCCAGATGTTAGGCGACCAAGCATTGCCGGGGAGAGTGGAAGGGATGTCGTAGAGAGTGACAGGAGTGGACATTTTGGATGATGGACCTAATCTGAGGAATCGACGGATATACTTAAAGGCGTTCCACGGCTGTGAAATTTATTATTGAGCATGAGCTCATTATTTCCAGCCACTGACCATTCCGCTACTGTCATGTGGGTAAGCTGACTGATAAATGAACGTTTTGACCCACGGGGTGTTCCCTCGGCATCCCGTTAACGAGAAAGATTTGAAAGCAAAACGTGACTAGAACGGTTATCGTATCCCACCACCATCCATCTGACCTGATAGCTTGCCGTGTCCAGCGATGAGAGACGAACTCGGTCGTGTCAAATTTTTTTGGCCTTCTCGAAGAGCAGAGGGAGAATTAAGCCTGTTTCTATTTCTGCTGACTTATCAATTGCAAACCTGTGCGACGATCGCTAGTCTAGTTACGAAGAGGGCTATGAAAACTGAAATTACAAACGGGAGTCCTCCTGAGTCCTCACGCCGTCTGCCTAATAGAACCCTCGAGGATCTACATCTAATCTCGGTTGGAAGACTCTGACAATGAGGGGAAAGGGAACGTACAGCGTCATCGATCCTTCCTTCTACCAGTTATCATTGATCATCAGTTCGGGGTCCTATGTTCCGTTGGAAAATATCATCAACATCTTCAAGGGCACGCTGCATGGTCGATATTTAGCTATGACTCGTGTGGGGTCATAGTAGGAATGAGTAAGAGGATGCCGTATTCGACGATACGGCGTCCCGATTGTGTCGGATTGTCTTGCCACGATACCCGAAATACTAGCGAATCGGTAGTTGAGGCCTCGACTGTGTCACGGATGTAGTATTCAGGAGATGTGGTGCAAAAGACACGATGTCATTGGCTCAAGAGTGCATTGTTATAGCTATGGCAGTTGTCGGCCTGAGAAAGGGGGAGCAAGTTGGCTATTGGCAAGGCGTGGGTTAGGAAGCTCGACGTGCCGTATAGTGGTTTGAGCGGGGTGTTATTCGACCATAGCGGCGTGGCGCGCTTGATACTCTCGGCCATCCTGAGCCGGATCCTCTTCGCTGCTTGACCAAAATCAGAATAACCAAGAGTCTCGTGTTCCAAAGGGTATCTGGAATTGCGCGCAGTAGTGGCTTTTGATAGAGAAAATCTCTGTTATGTATATTCCGTACAGGTTGTTCAACGATGTATAATGATAGAATGGCGTAAAAACATTGTAGGTGGTGTGTTATCCTCCTGCACCGTGACATTATAGAGAACTTTGAATGAAGTATCACGAGATAAGACTCACCTCCGACACCATAGTCATATCGAACCTCGAACTTCGTGAATTTGGCTAACGATCTGACTGCGCGTTGAAAACGTATCCTTGTGACTCGGATCGCACTGGAGGACGAATCATGGTATATATCATGCCAAAATTTCTCGAATGCGAACAGTGCTGTCTTCATCTCCTTGCAAGAAAGCCCGTACGTCATACTTCACACAGCAGTTGACGTTTGAAAGGCGCGCTGTACTTTTCGCGAAAGAAACAACTGGCGCGCGCTTGCTCGACGATGGGAAGACTGTTGGTAAACCAAGGACAAGAACACCGCGTTATTTGCTCAGAGAAGAAGTGTCGAGATATGATTAGGTTTATCGATTATCCACCACCCGATACCGATGTAGAGTGCTGTCAGATGGCAATAACATTTCAGGAGATTGTTAAGCTTCATCTAAGTCCATGATCCTTGAGCTCGAGATGACGTCTCGACATTAGCACCCACTGCACATATGGTCCTGCCCTGCATATGCATCCGCCTGACCCGAGTTAACCAACTGCGGCGAGAGCGAGGACGTCAAGCAGGTCCTTCTAATACCCATCAGCGTAACAAGTACCCGTGTTTTTGATATCGGCATTGAAGCAGACCAGTGCGCGAAGGAGACGGAGATTCGTGATGGTAATGTGAGGGCGGTTGCCATACCAAAGGAACTGACAGAAACGATAAGCAGCTTAGGAGAGGGTGCTATGATGAAAGACTCACTGGTAGAACACTTCCTATTCATCCGCTCCGAGACTGACCCTTTGGAATCCCATTAGATCATCGAAAGTTGGCGAATGCGCAGACTCCAAGGTAGGCGATAGGTTCTCGGTTAGCCTTGGCTTGCCGTAGCATGGAGACAGTGATGCGTCCTTCTTTTTTTCTGTTCTTGTGTGCTCATTCAAAGCAAGACTGCAGTAAGGGCTGACCCGCATCGGGAGAAGTAGCTAAGACAGCCCAGAATGACTGAGGGTGGCCTTATCCTATAGTCAGCCAGGGAGGACCAAGGATGTTCAACCAAGTGAAGCTATGGAACTAACGAGAGATCTAAATAGAATGTAAGGACAAGAAATCCTTGATTTCTTGGGTTTGGGGGGGGGAGAGAACTCGGCTTTGAGCAAACTGTGAGTTGAGCAGAAGTGAGACCGGCAATGAAACCAGTCCCGAGATGAATACCGGGATGTAGAGATGCCGGAAGCTCAAACTCGTAGCGGTGGAAGCCGAGAACTCAGTTGTTCAGGGAAACCTGAAATCTGAGCAGCTGAAAAGACGTAGCTGCAGCGTCAGACCAGGCGCTACCCAAACAAAGAAGGGAGTAGGTGGGTGGGTCAAAAGAGAGCGAAGAACTGACGGAGCGACCAGGATGGAGAAAGCGGAGAGAGAACGAAGCGAAAATACTCTTGCACCGAATGGCGCAGAACGATCGCGTTGTTTGGCTTCCTCTGTTGAGCCAAACATCTGGGGAAACGCGACGGAACGCTGGGGCAAAGATCTCTCTGTTCGCTACGCTTTACTTGGCTGAACACAGAGTTTGAGCCGTTCGTTCCTCACGTCAAACTTGTGTAGCAACAACTCACCTAGGGCTGATAATCCCCTTCAAAAGGATTTGCCGCTCCTGTAACCAGACGCCTACTAAACCCGTTCGGAGCCACAGATCCATTTCCGCATTATCTATATGTTTTTGACATCATCAGGTGGTGGGATAAGCGAGCACGCGTATTAGGAATGTTTGCATAGCAACAAAAGTGTGTGGCAACGCGTTGTGGGACGCGACAAGGCAAAGGACCAAACGGAGATCAAAAGGTAATCAATCCTTCTGTTCCCACCATCATCCTCGTTCTTTCAGGAACATGGCATCTCTCACAATGATGCCGATTTACCACGTCGACGGCACACTGGTGGATTATTTTATCATCAATCTCGTTAGTTTCGTCCGATAATCCTCCAGCAACCCACGCGAAGACGAGATGGTCTCGGACCAGCCTATAAGGACTTCCATTATTACCTAGCGGTTCCTTAGCAAAGATAGCCCAAGGGACTCGCTGATTAGTAGTACTCCTTGGAACGGTGACGCTGCCAAAGCATAACTAGTGACCAGGGTTGAGGCCATTGAGGTTGAGGTTCGGGCGCGCGCAGTGGCCATTGTAATGTTCACAGAAAGGTTCGTACTGCATTACTATGTATAGGATGCATATGGTACTTAATACCCGTCAAGTTTATTTGAAAGTTCATTTGGATTGAGCAAGCTTGAAGATGATAATCTACGAACAATTACAGGATCTCGACATTCTTCTTACTACCATTTTAGTAATTACTTGTGGGTTTATGTACTTCTTCCTATCGGCCTGGTTACACGATAGTCTCATACTTCTCAAAATTCTTCACCAAAACACCCCACCTGCCTCCATGCCACGTCGAGATATCCTTCCACTCCTCGCTATCCGCGCTGTATACGATGCGGACGTATAAGACCCCCGCGGCAACCATGAAATCCGCGTACGAAAGAGTATCTCCCATCACGTACTTATCCTCCTTCCCATACCACGCATCAATCTTCCCGAAATCCGCCTTCAACTTCGCCCACTCGCTCTTCCTATCCTCACCCTTCGGGATCGCATCTTCCAATTTCTTCCCTCCAAACACTTCGGCCTCCCTCGTCCTCCTGAAGTACTCCTCGCTCACGGGGTTCAAGATGAAGTTGGTCTGAAGGGTGAACTTCTGGAGAGCGCCACCTCGGAAGTGGGAGCGTATCGCATCGTTAAAGGCGTAGTGGAACGCGTTGGTGCCTGCAGGGATGACAACGGGTGTTTCGGGGTAGGTTTTGTCCAGGTACCGGGCGATGGCCGCTGATTCGGAGACGAAAGCACCAGTGGAGGGATCGTGCAGAAGGGGGAGAGTGTAATGGGGTGTTACGCCGTCAGCTTTGGTAGCACTGGCGTGGGCGCCGAGTTTTTTGTACAGGGCTTCGATGTGGGGGAACTCAACCCATTCAGTGCGGTACGGGATGCCTTTATAGTTGAGCACGTATCTGGATGAAGTCGTGAGCGGTACCATTCGAATAATACGCAAAGGAAACTGACCTGGCTCTCCAGATGCTAGGCGACCAAGCATTGCCGGGAAGAGTCGAAGGGATATCGTAGAGAGTGAGAGGAGTGGTCATTTTGACCTAATCTGAGGAATCGGCGGGTATACTTTAAGGCGTTCCATGGCTGTGAAATGGATTATCAAGCATGATCCTCATTCCGCTACTGTCATGTGGGTACGCTGAGTGGATGAATGAACGTTTTGACCCACGGAGTGTTCCCTCGCCGCCCCGTTAACGAGAAAGATTTGAAAGCAAGCCGTGACTAGAACAGTTATCAGATCCCACCACCTGACCTGATAGTTTGCCGTGTCCAGCGGTGAGAGACGAACTCGGTCATATCAATTTTCTAGGCCTTCTCGAAGAGCAGAGGGAGAACTAAGCCTATTTCTATTTCTGTTGACTTATCAATCGCAAACCTGTGTGATTGAAATTGAGTCCTCACGCTGTCTGCCTAATAGAACCCTCGGAGATCTACATCTAATCTCGGTTGGAAGATTCTGACAATGAGGGGAAAGGGAACGTACAGCGTCATCGATCGTTCCTTCTGCCAGTTATCATTGATCATCAGTTCGGAGGGGTCCTATGTCCCGCTGGAAAATATCATCAACGATCTTCAAGGGCACGCTGCATGGTCGATATTTAGCTATGACTCGTGTGGGGTCATAGTAGGAATGAGTAAGAGGACGCCATATTCAACGATACGGCGTCCGTTGTCGACCTGAGAAAGGGGAAGCAAGTTGGTTATTGGCAAGGTGCGGATTAGGAAGCTCGACGTACCATATAGTGGTTTGAGCGGGGTGTTATTCGACCATAGCGGCGTAGCGCGCTTGATACTCTTGGCCATTCTGAGCCGGATCCTCCTCGCTGCTTGACCAAAATCAGAATAACCAAGAGTCTCGTGTTCCAAAGGACATCTGGAATTGCGCGCAGTAGTGGCTTTTGGTTGATAAAATCTCTGTTATGTATATTCCGTACAGGTTGTTCAACGATGTATAATGATAGAATGGCGTAAAAACATTGTAGGTGGTGTGTTATCCTCCTGCATCATATTATTGATAACTTTGAGTGAAGTATCACGACGTAAGATCACCTCCGACACGCCATCGTCATATCAAACCTCGAACCTCGTGAATTTGGCTAACGATCTGACTGCGCGCTGCAAATGTATCCTTGTGACTCGGATCGCACTGGAGGACAAATCATGTTATATCGTGCCAAAATTTCTCGAATGCGAACAGTGCTATCTTCATCTCCCTGCAAGAAAACCCGCACGTCATACTTCACGCAGCAGTCGTCGTTTGAAAGGCGTGCTGTGCTTTTCACGAAAAAAATAACATGACGACTGGCGCTCGCTTGCTCGACGATGGGAAGACTGTTGGTAAACCAAGGACTCGCTCAGAGAAGAAGTGTCGAGATATGATTAAGGTTTATCGATTATCCATCAACCGATACCGATGTAGAGTGCTGCCAGGTGGCAATAACAATCCAGGAGATTGTTAAGCTTCATCTAACTTCATGATCCTTGAGCTCAAGATGACGTCTCGACATTAGCACCCACTGCACATATGGTCCTGCCTGCATATGCATTCGCCTGACCCGAGTTAACCAACTGCCAACTGTGGCGAGAGCGAGGACGTCAAGCAGATCCTTCTAATACCCATGAGCATAACAAGCACCGGGGTTTTTGATATCGGCATTGAAGCAGACCAGTGCGCGAAGGAGACGGAGATTCGAGATAGCAATATGAGGGCGGTTGCCATACCAAAGGAACTGACAGAAACGATAAGCCGCTTAGGAGAGGATGCTATGATGAAAGACTCACCGGTAGAACACTTCCTATACATCCGCTCCGAGACTGTCCCTTTGGAATCCGTCCAAGGCCATCAGAGCATCGAAAGTCGGCGAATGCGTAGACTCCAAGGTAGGCGATATGTTCTCGGTGAGCCTTGGCTGGCTGTAGCATGGAGGACCCGCGTCGGGAGAAGTAGGTAAGACAGTCCAGAATGACTGAGGGTGGTCTTGTCCTATGGTCAGCCAGGAAGGACCAAGGATGTTCAAACAACGCACCTAGGGCTGATAATCCCCTTCAAAAGGTTTTGCCGGTCCTATGACCAGACGCCTACTAAACCCGTTCGGAGCCACAGATCCATTTTCCGCATTATCTATATGCTTTGGGGGCGTCCCAACATCAGCGGGTGGAGGGATAAACGAGCATGCGTATTAGGAATGTTTGCATAGCAACAAAAGTGTGTGGGACGCATTGTGAGACGCGACAAGGCAAAGGACCAAAGCGGAGATCATGGTGGTAAGAGATCAAAAGGTATTCCTTCTGTTCCCACCATCATCCTCGTTCTTTCAGGAACATGTCATCTCTTGCAATGATGCCGATTTACCACGTCGACGGCGCATTGGTGGATTATTTTATCATCAATCTCGTTAGTCTCCAATAATACTCCAGCAACCCACGCGAAGACGAGATGGTCTCGGACCGCCTATAAGGACTTCCATTATTACCAGCAGTTCCTAGCAAAGATAGCCCAAGGGACTCGCTGCTTCGTAGTACTCCTTGGAACGGTGACGCTGCCAAAGCATAACTAGTGACCAGGGTTGAGACCATTGAGGTTGAGGTTCGGGCGCGCGCAGTGGCCATTGTAATGTTCGCAGACGAGTTCGTACTGCGTTACTATAGGACGTATATCCGTACTGGATACCCCTCAAGTTTCTACGAAAGTTCATTTGGATTGAGCAAGCTTGAAGATGATAATCTACGGATAAATTACAGGATCTCGACATTCTTCTTACTGCCATTTTGCTCCTGCAGCTGCCAGAGAACCGGATCGTTCGTTCAAATCGATCCTTTTTGCCCTTTCTCTTCCGTAGATGTCCGGAAAACAAGGTCAGTCGTTTCCAAATCGTCACTTCGTTTGACTTCTATCTATGCAGTCCTCCGTCATTTTTCGCTGAAAATGGTTGCCCGTTCTTTTCCTACTCGAGCTCGGAGCCAGTCTTAGCACTGGAAAACTAAGCAATAGCCTCGAACGTGCAACGCTTCTACGGTAGCTTTACCAGCTTCTTGCCGATGTTTATCCTTTATACTGACCACGGCTTTATAGAGCGTCCATCATGAATTCGACTGTGACCTGCGTCGAAAGCACCTCGCATGAGTACTTGGTGTTCGGATCAGTTCTGTCTCATAGCGCTGCCACGGGAGCCCGTAAAAGCAAGGATACTACTACTCAGGAAGAGTCGACGATACCGTTCCGTCACGAAGAAGCGAATGATTGGACAGCAAAATGGTTCTCACCGTCGGAGTCAATCCCGGGATGGTCCGTAACCGACAGGTTAGCTTGCTTTTTGGATGTCCTGACGGCTTCTCCTGCTGACTGGACTGCTTCCATTCATAAGTTACAGGCATCGCCTTGACTTGGTATATGTCAAAGGCGGTGTCAATTAGTACGACACACCCTTCACGGGGCTCATGCTTGGCACGAAGCGCGGATATTTCTTCCTAAGTCTGACGTCAGTGTTTTCCAAGTCCATGCCAACCTCGCGGGCGTACTAACGTCTTTATCAGGCTGTGCTTTCCAACATCCACCGGGGGGAACAGCCCGCTGCTATTTAATGTCGGATTTTCTCTTCTCGAAACCGACTTTCCACGAATCATGAGGATCGAATGGGGGAACACATATAAATGACACCCGAAATCCGAACACGAGGGTGTCTGCAAACGCAGCTCACAACAGCATGAAGTTCGAGGCTTGACGCGCGAGTCATGCTTTGCTGTCACCAAGTACAGGTGGACCGACTGCCGCTCGCGACATATGGTCCCTAGTAATGGCCTTTCTTTCACGCTCCCTCGGCTTAAAGAAACATACACCGAGCGTCGAAGCTAGCAGACACGGGTACACTCGAACGTCACCGCAAGCGCTTGTCCAACTCAACACTCGGCACACAGGCTCATCCTTATACCCTCCTGCCGTCTTTCTATCCTCCCCGAAAGCTAAACAGCGTGCAACGATTCCCGCTAGACATAGCAATGATCCGTCTACACGTTCAGACTTCAAGCCGGAACTTTGCGAGGGGGAGACCGCCACTCAGGAAAGCACCGGGTTACAAGACCCTTCCCACCAATCAGAGCCCAAGCGCAAAACACCAAGCTAACCAATCACGTTCCCCAACCCCTAGAGGAATCTCATCGGTCAGTATAATTAGCCCTCTTATTCGGATTGAACATCGGCATTTTCCTTTTCCTTTTCGGACACATACGGACCCACTGGAGTCCACTTCTCTTCCCTCTCGATTTATCGGTGTCGTGGCGCCTCTGGTTCTCGTAGGGGATTGGAGGATATTATCGTGTTCTTAGATACGATCCTCGGATGATGACGACGCGTCTCTTCCCCTGATCAGCGTCATGTTGGGAAGTACCTCGAACGCGCCACTCTCCACACCCGAGTCGAGGAGTCTCGTCTTAGGGGACGTGGCGCAGCCCAGGTCAAGGGGGTTGAAGTCGATTGGCGGCTTCTCTCAAATGATCATAGAACGCTATTTGCTCGTAAACCATAGCAACCCGGGTGGAGGCTCGGCTATCTTCGTAACTCAACGGCCTAGATTGATGTCCTCAAGATCGAGTAAAGTGAATGTGAAAGTAGATAGGTCAGCAAGCGTTGTCTGTGCATGTTACCAGGTAGCTGACTACACTACTCC